GCAACAGCAATCGTGTTGCACGTTGCCAGCTGCCACCCGCAGCCTCCAAAAAGTTTTGTGGTCGTGCATCCGCTTAGCGGTAAACGCAGCACAGTTAACTCTTTATGGCAGCTGCTTTAAAATGGAGAAATGGCATCGAAGTGGACACACCCTGTACATATTGGCATAAGTTCAACAGGAGTAACATTTTCATTCAACCTTTCTCTGTAACTAAAAAAACAATTATTTTAAAAGCACATTTTTAAATATATTCCCCAATAAGCTTAGGGTATTCCGAAACATAGATGTTAAACATCACAAGAATTACATCGAATTCTGTTGAAGCTTAAACCAGTTTTAAATGATTCTATTCTAAAATGATTTATGCTCTAAAGAGCAACATACAACATATTTTTACGTTGTGTTGGAATTTATTTTATTATCTGCCCGGAAAATTTGTTTTTTATATTTTTCATATGTATTTAAATTTGTTTTTTATATTTTTTATATGTATTTAAATATTTGGCTGATATATTTATTTTTAACTTAAGATTGTTCAACTTACTTTATTGTCGCTAAAGTTACAAATTTGGAGTTTTATATAGCTAACAACTTTAAATCCCGAGCTTTCGTTATCCACCATTTCGCCCAACAAACTTCACATACCCCGTACCAGTTTCGTTTGTTACCCACTTATCAGGTAGCTGCGTAGCCTGCTACAAATTTAGGCTAATTAGTTGGACTTAAGCGGACTTAACCCTTTCGCCCGCAAATGGTAAGCATACTTTTGGCCAGACGAGCATTTAATATATGTAATTGCAGTTGTTGTACTTTCAAACCCACAAAAAATACCCTTAAAATGTTGGAAACAATTTTTCGGGGACAAACTCAGAATTTTTTGGGGGCGGATATCTGGAAGTGTAGTGTGGGAAAACACAGGCAAATTGTCAGTAGACCGCAAAACATGCAAACGTTAAGGCCACGCTGGAGCGCACTCACACCCAATTCTGGCTCATCTGTTTTGCCATGTCATTGAAGCGTAAATGAGACATTTGCGACGCTTGTTTAATTAAAATAAATTTCAATTTAATCAAAATTTGTCTGCCAACGGGGGAGACAGCATGCGAAACACCGTTTTGGAAATTCGCATTAAAATTGTTGGCATAGTTTCAAGGGGTTTCTAAAATGGATTCTGTGCCATCATCGCCCCTGACAACTGTCGCTATTGCGATCTTTAAAATGCCAACAAACTTTTCCAAAGGCCTTTTCGGTTGGCACCTCTGCACCTCCTCCCCCGCAATATTGTAAGTGCCTAGCTCCGTGTCATGTCGTACAGGTGTCAATGTGGGCGTGTCACTTAATTAAAACATTGTGTCAACCTTTGATTAATAGTCATAGAGTAAAACATTTCGAGGATTTGCGATTGTGTGTGACACAGCGTCAGTTTGAGTTTTAGTCACTCAAAATTTAGATGGAATACTGAATGAGTACTTTTCATTGATTGAGCTCTTAAATAGTCCCTTCATTGATAAAAAAAAAAATAAAATAGTATAAATAAATATCAGACTACTGAACTTAAAAATGTTATAAATAATATTTAATTTAAATAATACACTGGTATAATAATAAAATATTTCAATAAATGTGCTAAATATCAGATTTAAAATAGTTCCCATTTGATTTAAATGCATTTAATTTAATTTTAATATGACTTACATTTATTTTAAATTTTCAGATATTAAAATCCGTTCCGAAAGTATTAAAATTCGAAATTTAAAAATTTGTTAATATTATTAATTGTTATATCTAAAAAATAATTAAACACAAACATACACTCAATTTATTCGCAGTCTTTATAAATTCCATTTAAATGTTGATTATTTAAATAAGTGCTTGGCCAGCAGACAAAAAAGTTCCTTGAATATACACACTTTACAATTTTTATTTTACGTTTTTTTTAACATGGAATCCAAGTGCAAGAGCATAAGGTAATTAAATTAAATGTTTTGGCTTAGAGAAAAGTTGTTCTAATTTAATTGTACGTTTTGTTTGCACACGCGGCGAGTATTTTTATGTGGCCATTGTTTCCATTTACATTTGCGAAACCCAACTTTTTTATTCGATTTAGAAAGCCACATGGCGTATGAGTGATATGCGTATAATAAAAACGTAAGCGCTAATTGCCAAAAATGCTGGTAAATGCAATTTAAGTTTTTTGCTCCGACAAATGTTATTGCAATTGAAAAAGGAAAGCAGCCGGATGATGCAGAGGATGGAAAGTCCGGCGGGGCCATGAAAAATGCATATTTGGGTTTAACCGAAAAATAAACAAGGCCAGAGTAGAGGGGCAGTACTCGAAGGGGGAGTGACTGACTACACATGTATGCAGGGAAAATTCTTTTCCACACCCCCACATTCTCGCCTTTTTTGCATGCCACGGGGCGCTGAGCCGAAAAGTATGCAACAATAAATTCTGCCACGACGGGAGCTTTTCATTTATTTGAAACACCCACCCGGAAAAACCACACCCGCCCGCACACTCCATTTTAACACCCAACAACGGTGCGCGGGCTGGCTAAAGAAAGGAACTAAAATCGTGTAAAACTGTTGCCAAACTAAAAACAGTTTGTGCGCCAATTTTCTATCAATTTTCATTGGCGTTATCAGAGGCCACACTTGGAAAAATATTTTGTCTTACCTTTGAAATAAAAACTTTTTGTTTCAAGAAATCTTAGTCATTGAATTAATCAAACCTTTTATCTTGAACATTAAAAAACTGAAAAATTGTTTTGTTTTAACAAAAAGGGATATTTTAATAGTAAATTTATAGGTAGACAGTTAAATATAACCTTTGGCGAAATAATAATATACTATTAATTATTATTAATTTTCTTTAACTTTATAAGCATCGCAAGTTGCATGATTTAATGAAAAATGATGCTCTTTTTTTCCGAGTGCAAAAATAGCGCTCTTAGTGCCAGGAAAATATTTACAATTGTACTGCATTGTGTACAGCTCAAAATGCCAGGCACTTTGATGACCCCAAAGCCAAGACTGCAGCTTCTCGTTCTGGCCACTTTCGGTTTATGGGCCATAAATTCTGTCGCCTTGCCGGGCTCTTTCCCCAGCTGCATTACAATTGATTTGCATGCCTGCTTGGCCGGCTGTTAGTTAACAGCCAGGACAACTGTACCCCATAAATGCCAGGGAATTTATGGCCGTCCAATCGAAACAATTGCCTGACTTCTGGCCGATTGCAACCATTGGACTCGTTCTCCGGCACCTGCATTTTATGGCTGTCAACTGCAATGTCCTGTCCCCGTTCCCCCGTCCCAAAATCCAGTCTAAGTGCATTTTTTGGTGCATCTCTAGTTGAGACTGACATGCAAATACATTCGTGCAGCCCGAGATAAAGTTGATTTTTGATTTGCCAGCAGACTCACTGAGCCATGGCCAAGAAGCCAGCCAAGTGGCATTTCCACCCTCCACCCTCCAACCACCTCCCACTATTCCTCTAGAGTCTAGAACAATCTGTTGTTTGGTAATTACAAAAATACGATAAGGCTCAGAGCAGCCCGTTCAACTGGAAAGCGAACACAATTGGCTGGGCGAATATTCATGGCCTGTTGATGAAACTAGCAAAATATAATGGAATATGTTATGCCAGATTATCGATAATGCATATTTTTGTGTTTGCCGAATTCGGGATTGATGGCTTGATGGAAAGGTTGGTAATATTTGATAGCCAAAACGGAATAAGTATTGCATATGAATATATTGTGTGCCTTGCAGTTTTAAATATTATAAACATTTGTGAACTTTAAAATATGTGATAATATTCAATTTAATTCAATTTATTTTAAAAAGATAATTTAAATTGAATATTATCTATATTTTTTTTCTATTAACTTGCCCACAAAAAATAGTTATTTAAATTAACTGTATTTTCTTTTTATATTAGCTAATCTACCAAAATACTACCAAAATATTTATAAAACTCATCAAATACATGCATACAAATTAATAAATAAATACCTATACAATCAAATTGAAAGGGTATTAAAAGGTTTTAGAGCTGAGTATTAAGTGTTTTCTCCTTGTTGCTAAGCCATTTTCAACCCACTCCTCGTGGTCTGTTTTTGTGAATAGAAATATGAAAATAATCCTCAAGTGTCAGCCCGGGAGATTAGTGACAACAAACCAAAGCCGCAGAGCGAAATGAGATTTTTCATTTGGTATCAAATATCCGCAAAAACCGACCAGGAAAAGCCCCAGCAGACAAAAGAAAATGCTAAAAAAAAAGATTGCTTTAACTAGAAGTGAAATGCAAACGAGTGCAATGCTCCACGAAAAGAAAAGGGAAAGGAGGAAGGAGGGGATGGAAACGAGGGCCAAAGTGCAACTAGGCAAATTGAAACTACAAACTACAAACAACAAACCGCACAATGCAAACACGAATAGTGAGACAGCCAGTAAATTGCAATCAATTAAATCCGACTTCTGCCGGATTGAAGCGAGCCCCCTAATCCACTAAATGTAAAAAGATGCCGGCAGTAAAAATAAAATAAAAATGTACAAGCTGAGAAATTTTTCCCTATTATGGTATCTTCAAAACGTTCAATCTGTTTTGTTTACAGTATAAAGAAGAATATTATGCAAGACCCGATTAAACTATCACTAAAAACTATGAAAAAGACTATATCGTTTGTATAATTAATGCCTTAAATTTGATAGATATCATTATAATTTAAAATTAAACAAGGTCATTTCCCATCAATTTTACTATAGAAACTAAAAAACCTTTTTAAGATATTTACTAAAATGTCAAATGCATGGATTTTTACAAAAAAAGTGACTCAAGTGAATGCTATTCTTCTTATTAAATAACTTGAGCAAATAAAGATATTGCTACCTCCTACTTTTTACCTAATTTTGTGTATATTAGACCCACTGTGCTGCATTTGCAGCTGCGATAGATGGAGCAACGATCGCAACCAGCCTCCAATGTCAGTTGTCACTGGTCCACGAAGCCGTGAGGTCATCGCTGCTTGTACTTTATCTTGACTTGACGGAGTAAAGGGTTCCATTATGGAAAATACTTTCTACTGGCGCAACAAGGTGGCGGTGGTCACTGGTGCCTCTGTGGGAATTGGAGCTAGCACAGCTTTGGAATTGGCCAATGCCGGAATGGTGGTTGTGGGTCTAGCTCGCCGAGTGGAACTCATTGAGGTTAAGACTTTTATTTATAATTAACCTCTCAATATCATTTTGGGATTTTGATTAGGCTCTCAAGAATCAAGTGTCCGGTGAAGGCCAAATCTTTGCCCGCAAATGCGACCTCAACGATGAGGAGCAGCTGACTAGTACCTTTAGTTGGATTCGTGAAAACTTCGAGGCCATTCATGTACTCATCTGCAACGCTGGCATCTTGAAGGCCAACTTTCTGAGCGGTAAATACGGGCCATAATAAAAATAAATTCTGCGCTTAAACTCTCCGGCTTAGAGTCCCCCAAGAAGGATATTAAGGAACTGTTTGATACGAATGTGGTGGCCACCGCCAGCTGTCTGCGGGAAGCACTGAAGCACATGGCAGCGGTCAAGGGTCGCGGTCACATTGTGGTCATGAACAGGTGAGTGTCCTTGCAGGCAAAACTATTACCCTCAGATAAAAGAATCCTAAGCTTAATTAAAACCGCTTAAATATTTTAAATAATTTTCAAACGGGTACCAGTTTAATTATATTAACAGTGCCAATTAAATATTTTTTAAAAAATATTTCAGCAACTAACTTGACAGTACACCATTTAATTTACTAACTTAATATTTAAATCAGTTAAAATATTTTAAGTACATTTAAAATTATTGTTACTTACTTACTTATATTAACAGTGCCATTTAAATATTTTTGTTCAAATAATTCAACAACTAAGCGTTAAATAACTATTGAAACTCACAATACACTCTATTAAATTTACAAACCTTAAGTGCCGAAATGATCCCTTTTCGATTTCAACACCTAGACAGCTCGATTTAATTTTCTTTAAATGCAACCTCTCGCATAGAAAGTGTTTGATGCCATCCAAAATGAGAGAGCCATCAATTGAAAGCCATACATTAAAGGATTGTCTATTGACTCGAGACAATTAGATAGAGCTACAAAATTAGCACAACTGCAAACACAGAGCACCGAGCAACACAATTGCCATTCGGGGGGAGAGGGGGGTTAATTGTTATTATTTCGGGAGCGATGTTTACCCAGCTGAACTGGGAAAATTGGGCTTAAATCGAAATTAGTGCAGAGGCCCACAAAAGCTGTTTGGCAGAGTTGGAGGTAAATCATTTTCGAACATATTTGCTTTATAGTTTTGCTTGTGCTGGGCACACAACTGACCAAAAGCTGCTGCCTTGAGTGGCAAAATATTTACCAAATTATGTCCTACAGGGTGTTGGTTGGCGACCATAGGGTTGGCTTAGCCAGAAGGGGGTTCAGCCGATCGGGGCTTAATGAAAGTGCAAACAATGCAGCCGGTCAGTCAATAGCCGTGTTTCGCAATTCAGTCACAAGCACATACACAAAGGAGAAAAGTCTCTGCGAAGTGAGTGAGTGGCGCGTTATTTAAATTAAATTAAAAGCCATGCGGCAAACAAACAACACAACAGCACAAACATTTATTGATATTTAAATGCTGAAAGCAGCAGGGGCACGCATTGATGGTGTTGCGGTGCGGGTGGTGCATTAAAAGCTTTGCATGCCCAATGTGTTTGCTCCAAACAACAACAACAATAACAACAACAGCAACAACAACTCAATTATTCAACATAATTAAGTATTTTGCATTAAGCCGAATGCGTATTGCATTTGCATTTGCATTTGCATTTGCATTCTGCATTCCTCCATTGGCAGTCGTCGAATGTGATTTTTATTATATCATGTATTCCAATGCGTACCGCATTTAAAATCAAAAATGTTGCGCATTAAGCCGCATGTTTGATTTGCGCTATGGCTTTAATTTCAAATTGCATTGATTTAATTTTAATGAAATTTACTTGAGTGCATATACGCACACTCACACCCACCCAACCAACCCACCAACCAACCAAGCAACCAACCAGACAGCAATTATTGTCGTTTGCCCATGAGCAAAAGGCAAAATTGAATAATTGCGTATACGCACTGTGGGTGGGCCCATGCATGCGTAAATGTGTGTGCGTGTGTGTATGTTTGCTTTTTTCATGTCTGTAAAATCAGTCAGCATTCGGAAATGTTAAGGCAAACTCAACAAAGCCAACGTCAATCTTATTTATTGATTGGCTTTTAGTTAGTGCAAAGATAGCAATTTATTCCGTTGCCGCATTCTGTATTCAAATCACAAATAAGAGCTATATGATATGCGCTTTGAAAGTTTGGTAAAGTTATATAAAAATCTACAAATTTGGAAAAGCAACTGTGTACTAACATGAGTGAAAAAGCTAAAAAATATAATAACATACAAAATTCTATTATTGAATTATGATTGAAAGAAGAAAAGTAGAAAACATAATTTTAAGAAACGACTTTAAGCCCCTCATCTCTAAATTTTGATAAGTTGAAAGTAAAAAAGGTATGATACATTTAATAACTTTATAGCTTTCATATATAACATAATATTTATTGTTGAATAATAATTAAAAGAAACTAACATTTTAGAAATGACTATGAGCTTCTTAACTCTCATTAAAAAACAAAAAAGATTTTTAAAAAATTTTGTAAAGCTTAGAAGCAATACATTTAGCAAGGAAATTTACTTTAAGAGGAATAAATCTACTTTACTAGACCTTGAACATGCTACCCGTTCCACCCACTTTTCATTGCGCATTCGGAAAGTGCATTAAAGACCCACCGTAAATACGCATATTCCGGTTTTTATTATCATTTTTTGTGGCATAATGAGCAGCGGACACAAGCGCATTGTCCGCAACCGAATACAATTGAGCACTGCGGACAAGCGGCGGGAAAAGCGGCAGAAAAAGCGGCAGAAAAAGCGGCAGGAAAAGCGGGGGAAAATGCGACTTCGAACTTCGCATACGGTAATTAATGAGAAAATGTATTTATTTGGTTGCGTCGCGTTGCGAGGCAAAGACAATCCCGTTCTGAAAACGCTGCTCAGGCGTTGCTAATGAGCGTGTGACGTTGCGGGGGGCGTGTGTGCCGGGAGGACGTGGCAGGTGGACCAGGTGAGCAGAAAGGGGGCGGTGGTCAATATGCATTTCGCTTAATGTCAGTGCAATAATATTAAGACTTAATTAATTAAAAAATGCAAGAGTATGCTGGCCGGCCAGCATCTGCAACGGCTTCGCCATCTGTTTGCATTAAACGCCCCAGGCACCAAGCCATGCCCCTGTCCCAGAGTTCCCTCAATATACTCTTATATCTGCACTGCCATAAAAAGTATCACTTATTGATTGGCTATGATTGTATTAATTACTTTCGATTGATATATTTTTCATATTAGATAAATTCGTAATAGAAATTTCTTAGTTAAGAAATTGGTTATGCACTTGAATATAGCTTGCAACAAGAGCTATATTCTATTTGAAAACTCAAAACGGCTTTTATTATATAACATATATATATCGTTTTTAAACTGTTTATTGGTCAAACTAGAAACTACTATTTTCTAGCGTATTTTTTAACATCACTACAAATACTTTTTCAATAAAAAAAAAAAGTAAAACAAAATATAAGTAATTAGTTTAGTTGCAAATGCCTGCTCTAAATTCAGTTATTAATTATCAACTATAAATAGACTTTTTTCTGTGTGTGGTGGGTAAATTAAAAGAAGTTTACGCAATGTTTGCACAAAATGCACAGCGACATATGCAGGCAGGTGAATGCATGGCGCAGAATACAGAAAACAGAAAACAGGCCTCGGACCTCCGCACACATTCTTTGAGGCATGCAAAGTGGGTTCTTTTGGCGGGGTGGAGGTTCTGTAGTCCCCGTCAGCTGCCGACCGTCATTTTCCGTAAGTGTTCGGCGGCTACTTGTTTTTTGTTGCTGTTTTAAGTGCTCGAAATCCGTAGTGTTGACTTTATTTACCCACACTGTGACCCCTCCACTTTTTTTTTTTTCCACCTCCGCCACGATGTTCCCCCCGACACATGGACACATGGAAAACATTTGACAACAGCGTGCTTGGCCATCGGATTCCGGAAGTGCCGGTGCCCTTATTCAGCGTTTATCCGGCCACGAAGCATGCAATTACGGCACTCTGCCAAACGGTGCGCCAGGAAATACATTTTCTCAAATTAAATATTAAATTAACGGTAAGTTAAATGCAATGCATACATTGCGCCTCATCCTTTTCCTTTATCCTTCCTTGGAAAATGCTGCCAACACGACGCTTCTGGCGATTGGTAATGGGTAACCGTAACCCCTTCTTCTCCCGCCCCATAGAGCATCTGTCCGGGCATGGTGGACACGGACTTCCTCAGTGTTTACTCGCAGGCGGTGGCCGAGCTGCCCAAGTTGCAGGCGAAGGATGTGGCCAAGGCCGTGCTTTATGCCCTGAACACTCCCGATGGCGTCCAGGTGGAGGACATCATCCTTCAGCAGATGCGGCAGGTCAATTAACCACTGAATAGATTTTTAAATAACCATTTTCTTTCCTTAAATATATTATAACATTGTAATAAAAGAATGTGCGTAAAACTTATTAAATTTAAATTTTGATTAACTTTTACAATTAAAAAACATTTTTCACACGTACAGATAAACATATGAAAAACAAATATACTTTAAGTTAAAAAAGGAGAACTTTAATAAATATTTATAAGAAGGATTTATACTGAAGGATTTTATTTGCATTATAAAGCAAAAATCAAATATTTGATTAATTTTATAATATTTAGTCTGTTGGCTAACAAATTCCTATCTAAAACACAAAAGAAAATACAAACAGCAGCTCTTTTTTCAATTTTTTAGAAATTTCTATGAGAAATTTAGTGTTAAATTTAAATTTAAATTTAAATTTTTTGCTTCTAAGTAAATAGCTTAAGATTCAGTCTCGCTTACAAAATTATTTCCTTTGTTTTTAATGTTTTTTATAGCGTATAAGCTATGTAGTACAATAGAAGTTTATTTTGAATTGCCCTTCTGGCTACCTTTCAAATGGAGATGCCAACCGCTCCACCAGTGCTGCCACCCCAATCAGCGCTGCCAGACTCCCTCCAAAATGACCAGGGCTGGTCAACTATCGCTTGCATTGTATTGGATTTACCGATACCCGCTTATTGGTCACACTGGGGCTTTGATTAGAAAAAACTGACTCCAATAAAAACGTGAGGTAGAAAAGGCGAATTAAGTTGATAATTAAAACACACAGCACCCGCACGGTAACGAGCAGCGAAACGTGATCAAAACGCGCGGCGGCAGCAGCAACGGCAAGGACTGAAAAGCCCGAAAAATCAAAACCCCCGCACAGGCAGCGGGATCAAAAATCCCGAAATGCGTCCACGTAGTGCAAAATCCGAATCTGAATCTGGGATGTCTGGGTGTTTTTTTTCGGGTCGAGGGTGCGGCTGAAACGGGTGAACCTGCGATCCAAAGTGTGATTACGAAATGTGCTCGAAAGGCGAAATGATATTATAAAGTATAATATGCGTGTTACCACGTAGTTCCACACAGACACACATCGACTGACAAACACGCACACACACAGAGACAGGGACAGAGAGAGAGAGGGAAAGAAAGAAAGTGTTGTCCACAAAGAACAGGTTTTAACCTAATTAACTGAATAATAGGCCGAAAAATGTACCGCTAGAAGGAAGCTATATTGGCAAGGTCCCCGGCCGTTGTGTGCGTGTGTGTGTGTATGTGTGTCAAGGTTCCGGAAGTTATTCTATACCGACGAATTGATTTCCTATAAGCTAAGCGTTCGTTGTTGTTGCTGCCACTGCGGTTGTTGCTGTTGTTGCGGTTTCAGCTGGACATTGAACTTGAATTTAATTGCGCACTAATTTTTATATATATATATCTTCGATCCCATCCATATAGCCGTCTAGCCCAGCAGCTCTCTTCCCCCCACAAAAAACACACAACACTCTGTTTATCCCGCAACCGATAGCCACAAAAAATCAGCAGGATGTTCATCTGGGACTGGTTCACCGGAGTGCTGGGATACCTGGGTAAGAATCTTTATCACGGGTGCGGGAGGGGCCTTTCGAGGTCCCTGAACATCTGACATTGTGCCTTGGGGGGAGCGTTTCTTGAGCAAGTGCCAACAAAGCAGCAGAAACGCCAGACGACCAGACAAAAGAAACCGAAATTTGACTGATATACAGCCGAGGTCAAAGAAATAAGCTCTTTATGAGGGAATATGTCGAGATCTTAAAGTTAAATCGTATTAACTTCGAAAGTGTTGAGTCGTGAGACTTTGATTGATAGTCTTAATTGTAAGTTATAAACATTGTCAAATATATGATTTCTATAATCCCATTTTTCGACTTTTAACTGCATAATTTTATATTCAGGCATCAGATTAAAGTAAGCAATAAATATAGTTAATTTTAAACAGGAACAGGAATCTCTCTAATCAAAAGATAAGGTTATAACGCAAACTTTTTTTATAAACACTTTAAGCATTCTCCCTTGAACTACAGCATTTAATTTTTCGTTCAATTTAGTAGCAAAGAAAATTAAAAACTAATATGTAATTAATTCGCATTCGTAGAGCTATTGTTTTGAACCCAAATGTGACTATTCATGTCTGTAGGCTGCGCAAACACAAGTGATCCGTCACTAATGTTAGTTTAGCTGCCTATTTTAATTGGTGACGATTTGGTCAAAGGCTCTTATTAAACATATTCCACATTCCTCGTTTCAGGTCTGTGGAAAAAGTCTGGCAAATTATTGTTCCTGGGCCTGGATAATGCTGGCAAAACCACACTATTGCATATGCTCAAAGATGATAAGCTGGCGCAGCATGTGCCCACACTGCACCCAAGTGAGTAGCTTTAAGCACTTAAGTTACAGCTCCATAAGTAATTTGAATTTCAATTATCCTTTCCAGCATCCGAAGAGCTGTCCATCGGCAACATGCGCTTCACTACATTCGACTTGGGTGGCCACACTCAGGGTAAGTTTCTCATCATCACCGGAGCCCAGGAGAATGCGCATCCAAATATTTGCGATTTTCCGAACGTGCCCATTGACTAATTATAGATCAGAATGCATAAAGTACAGGGCGACACATGCAAAAGAGCCAGGTCCACGAAAATCAGCATGAAAAACAGCGCAGCGGGTCACCCATTCGGCTTACACTCTTTACATTTGTTGCGTTCAATCAGCGTCGCACACTTGAACGCCCAGTCAAGCAATGCCATTACAGTGGTTTTAGAACTATTAATTATTAACGTCTGAACAGGTCTTGAAATTTAAGTGAAAAAATGTATGCATTGATATGGTTTTATAATTACCTAAGATTAGTCCCTAAAGGACTCTGATAAGTGAAAGTGTATTATATATTTAGATAATATCAACAATACTCATCAAAGATTTGTGCGACACGTCTGTTATATAACAAAAATATTTAATCAAGTCTTGTTACCATACCAAATTTCTTATCAAACGATGACATCAAAAATTCAAGTCTTAACACCCCACTACCCACTGTGCATCTATAAGCGAAATATTTATGAATAATATAAGTATGAAGGCAAACATTCTATATAGATAACAAACAAAAACAAAAGCTAAAGATTGAGTGAGAACAAAAAACACTTTTGTAGACGGAGAACTCAAGTTTTCTCACAAACGTGAATTTAGTATATGTATATAAATAGGTATATTATGAAAAATAGGTAAAACATCTTGAAATGGCTTCAAGGGGGCTATTATTATTGATAAAGAGGTAGCAATTTAATTTTTTAGTAATATTAGTGCAGCCCGTCATCGTGACGATTGTTTTCGGTTCGGAACTGGGTAACCGTGATTAGACTAAAGTTAGCTGAAGTTCGGACACCGTCTCAGAGGCGAAAAGATATCAAGACCCGATGCCTGATAAGAATTACGTGCATTTTGTGTGGTTTAGTTGATGTTATGTAAATAATAGATTGTTAATTTAAAGTTCTAAATTTATGATCAAATTTGGACGGCTTAAGTTTTGAGATTAGTTTGATTTTTCCTACAAACAGGAATAATGATTTAAAAAGTTTTGCGACTGATCGATGAACAAATTAGCAGTTCCACTTAAATAAAATAAAACTATATTTGAACTTCAAATTTAACCAATTTTTTATACTGGAAAATTTTGACTAATAGAAGGATTTCAAAAAAAGATAAAACAGATTCAAGAATTTATATTTGGCAAAATAACTTATATTGTTGCTTTCTTTTACAGCACGACGCGTCTGGAAGGACTACTTCCCCGCGGTGGATGCCATCGTCTTCTTAATAGACGCCTGGGACCGCGGTCGCTTCCAGGAGAGCAAAAACGAGCTGGATTCGCTGCTCACGGATGAGGCGCTGTCCAACTGCCCCGTGCTCATATTGGGCAACAAAATCGATAAGCCCGGCGCGGCCAGCGAGGATGAGCTGAGAAACGTGTTTGGACTGTATCAGCTAACAACCGGCAAGGTAAACCAAACCCTCCTCCGTTAAGGTACCCATTTTGTTAATAATACATAATTGATTTGTGTGTTTGATTTGCAGGGCAAAGTTGCACGCGCCGATTTGCCTGGCCGCCCGTTGGAATTGTTCATGTGTTCCGTGCTGAAGCGACAGGGCTATGGCGAAGGTTTCCGTTGGTTAGCGCAGTATATCGATTAAGTCAGAATTAACAACCACCACCATACCATATTTCAACAACACTCAAAACGATAACTTGGCTACAAAATTTAAACATAATTCGACAACAAATCAGAACCGAAAGGAACGGAAAAGAAAATGAACCCAACCCAAACCGTCAGACCTTAAGCAAAACGAAGCTGCGTGCGCAATTTCTAATTTATACAAAAAAAAATTACAAATATTTCATAATAATAATAAAACACAAAACAAAACAATGTACATCTGTAATTAAACGACACCGTTTAATCCAGCCACACACAACCACGTGAAAAAAAACACAACACAACATCAAAGTGCAAACAACTTTTCTATCTAAAACATCGGGATAAAATAATAAGGAGGAGATGAAGGATGAAAAGAGTGCGCAAGGGAAACTTTTAATAATAATTATGAATAACAAATTGTAGCAAATTAAAGGTGATTTATTTAAGAGCATGTGCTTTCAACGACGCTGTTCCATAAATAAAATTTAGCTATCTACCTTTTATTTAAAAATTATTAATTGATTTAATCACTATTGATTTCCTTTATAGTTTAGTTCGGCTGCAAAATATATTATAAACAACCCCAAGACCTTCCATCGACCGTTTCCCCTTCCGATAAAGGTACATTTTAATTTAGCTGAAATTTTTAAGTTGCATGTCATCAATGTACTTTGTTTCTTTTTATACAATACGAAGGAGAAAACAATTTATATAAAATCGCATTTTGTTTGCAAAAAATTCTAAATAAAACGGAGAAAAGTAATTTTGTAAAATAAAAATGTGTAACTGTTTCTTTAACATTTTTGGATTTGATGGGTAAGAACATTCGCTTGATAATGTTTATTTACTGACGGCATTTTTAACAGGAAGAAAAACTATCTTATCAATGTTTGTTTTAGTTTTAAGCAAATATTGGCTTACAAGCTGTGTTGTTTAATAAGCTTACAAGATTATTTTCTATTACGATTTCTAGTTTAGTGTGGAAAGGAAAGGAAGTCCTGAAACTCGAATGAAACTACGCGCCGTTTTACAAATATATTGGATTTATTTATTTTTGCAATTAAGGTTTACGCTAATGAGTCACGTTGGAGCATCTATTGAAATCAGGGAGCAGGCTTTTAGTGAGGGCGAGCACGGAATCAAAGAGCTGCAAACATGCTTGTCTTGTCTAAGTAGAAAAATATTACAAAACTCTGGAACGGCCTGGCTACGTATGATGATGTATGGTAATCTCAGTGCTAGCTGCGGCGGCAGCGGGGCAGCCGTCTGAGCAGCATCAGCTGCCGTTGAAAGAGCCGCATGAGCAAGCCTTTGCGCTTGGCTCGCTCCCTGCATCAGGAGCGCGAGGATCCGCCCATGGATCCGGACCCCGATCCGCCACCGCCCGCCATGCGTCGTTTCTTTTTCTTCTTGGCAGTGAGACTCTCCTGGCCGCTGTCCGTGTTGGAATCGCCGCCGCCGTCTTCGCTCTCCTCCGACGAGGACGAGGAGCTGCTCGAGGAGGAGGAGCTCGAGTTGCTGGAGCTGTCCGAGGCGAAGCCGGTGCTCTCGTTCAGGTTAATACTTTCGGCGATCTGGGCCAGCTCCGGCCGCTGTTCTCGCAGCACGCGCAGCCACTTGCGCGACAACTTGGGTCGCCCGCGCACAGTCTTGTGCCAGACGCAGGGGAAGTTCGTCTGCGAGCTGAAGTTCTGGGTGATGGCAATGGTGTCGTCCAGGTTGAGCACCACGTGCCACCAACCGCCGGGCACGAACACCGTCTCGCCCTCGCCCTGGAGCACTTCGATGGGTCGGTACTGCTCCGGCCAGTTGGGCAGCTGGGTGCGAGGATATATGGTGCTGAACCAGGTGATGGCCTCGTCCCGCTGCTTGCCGCCCATGGCACTCGTCACCTTCAGCAGTTCCTTGGGCGTTTGCGTGGGGAACAGGCACCAGCGTTTGTGGCCGCGGAGGAGCGTGTTCCAGGCACTGGTGCCCAGCGGATCGATGTGGATGCCGGTGCCGGAGCGGGCCGGTCCCATGACAAACCAGCGGTACGGTGGCCGGCGATTCTCGCCGCAGTACTGAAAGAGGTCGTCGCGGAAGTACTTGGGCACCACGTAGTCATCGAGCAGCTTCCGCCGCCGGTGGTGTTCGCCGAAGCTGCTGTCGAAGATGTACAGCGGGCTGTCGTCGCGCGTGCCCTGCATGTACTCCACGTAGTACTTCATCTTCATCTTGACGCTATATCCCTCGTTGTCCTCGCCGCACTTGAACTTCTGGTTGCGATACTTCTTGGCCAGGCGGCCCAGTGTCCACTTCTCCAGCGCCAGCCAGCCGTCAGTGCAGCCGCGAATCACCACGGGCTTGTACGGCCTCTCGAAACGTTCGATGAACTCCGCCTCCGGGACCTCCGATTCTTCGATCCGCTCCAGGTTGTCCGTGAAGTCCCAGAATGGCTCGAAGTTTTCGCAGTAGCGCATCGCCACCCACGCATTCTCCCCGTCCAATTCCGGACGCGCCTTGCGCTTCACATCACGTGTGCGTTTACGGGAGCGCTTGGGCAGCTTGAATTCCTCGCTCATCCTGGTGCAATTGGCCAATTTTCGTCGGGCGGCTCCTGGAAAACGCAGCAAGTGGAGAACGTGAGTGCAGTGTGGCCAGGCGAGGAAAGTCTGGGGTTACCGCTACCGCGTGGTTATGCGACACCTGGTCACTCAGCTGGCCGCCAAAGTAGGGCTTTTTTTTTGCCCTTTTCAGGGGTTTCCAAGGGGCGGGATATTTAGGGGTGATGGAAGGCACGACCCACTTTCTTTTTACAAATTTTATTATTATAATATATATTTAAAAAAATACTCGCGGCTGAAAATTTAATTCGTCAACATGACCAGCCGTTTCTGGAAATATCTTATTACAAAATAGTTATATTCGTTATTTTAAAATATATATTAAAATTTAAATAACGACAACATAACTGAATGTATTTTTAATTCTTTTTTGGATTTTTTTTATCATTGAAAAACAATATTATTAAGAAATCTTATAATTATTATATTCCTGTATTTCTGTTTAGGAAGCCAAGAAAAGGTTCCAAAAAAATCGAGAAAATGTTGGGATGTTGATTTTAATTTAATTTAATTAAATTAATTTATTATTGGTTTCTAGCATTATAATAATAATCTTTTGTAATCTAGGTAAACATGTTGTCAATTACATTGTACCTAAACAAAGTACAACATATTAGAACGTTTGCCAACACTGCCCTCATGTGACAGCTGTCGGTGGAAAAAATAATGATAAGCCAAGTCGGACGAGGTAGTTTTTTAAAATCGGTTGGAAAAACAATAGTAACCGAGTTTTCCCACTTTCTACAGAGCTCTACAAAGTGCCGCTTCGCATTTTAGACCATCGTGTGTTTGTAAACGGCGAGATCGAGTCTTTCCTGGAGAATTTCGAGGTGCGGCGCAACGACAGCGAAGTGGAGAAACTTTTCCAGGTCACCGAGACAGTCGGATCCCTGAAATACGACCTCTCGGAGCGGTGTATTGCATCGGGAACGCAGAACTTAGGCCAACTGGACACGGAGGTCAATCATCTGCTGGACGAGGTCAACGCACTGCTAGCGAAGGCGAAAGTGGAACGAACTGTTAGTGGGTCGCCGTAATCTCAGCCCTTTATCATTGATTAATTGCCCTTTTCTCGGTTTCCAGGCCAGCACCCAGTTGCAGGAGGCGCGACTGGCACGTGAGCAACGCCGGGCGGAGTTTCTGACCAATTTGGAACACGGCTATCGCCGCATCGAGAACTCATTCGAGGAGAAGGAGGAGGAAATCGCCGAACTCTACTCGGACCTTCAGTTGAAACTGAACATTGCCAAGTAGAAACCATGCTGAAGTCAACGATCGTGGACCCCCGAGTGCGCCTGGTGCCGTCGAAGAAGCTTCTGGAATTTCTGGACGCTCAGAAGGAGCACTTTCCGGAGGTTACCGAAAATGTGGCCAAGATTATGAAGCAAAAGGGCTTCACACTGCCCCTCAAGACGCGGATAATCAAGGATAAAGACGTTGCTTGCAAACGTCCAGTCATCGACCAATCTCTGCTGAAAAAACTTACAAATAACGTAACTATTGCGCCCGAAGAACCCGCCAAGACCAAGCCGGATACCGCAGATGAGAAAGATACTGACGAAGAAACACCGGAGAAGAAAACGTTTCTCTATTTGAGCGACATGCATTGGCTAAATAACACTCTAGTGGAACTGCGCCGCCAGGACCATTGCCTTGTGTTTCTTCATCAGCTGATTGAGTCCTGTGAACTTATTCTGCCAGAGAACGAGATGATGCCTCGCAATCCGGAGCTGGAAGCCCGCTGCGAGCGTTTGCGTGCGGAGCAGCACAACCGGGATTACCTTAAGATGACCAAGAACGTGGATGCCGGACTGAAACATTACCCCGAAGACACAATCTCCTATCAGAGTGAGTGGAAGTGTAACTCAAACCCTTTGGTCATTCTCATTAAACACTTATCCTGCGTTCCAGTTAAGAGCCTCAATAAGCAGATCATTGCCGTCGTGCAGTTCATCTTCTCCGTGGCCGCTGGCTTTACTTTTGGTTTCTTTGGCGTCAACTTGATGGTGGGGCCTCTGCCCTTTGGATTTCGCATTCTGCTGGGCGTGATTGTGGCTCTCATCATAGCCCTTGCTGAGATGTATTTCCTGGCCAAAAAGCTTCACGAGTATGACGAAGTGCTCGATGCACCCAAACGCAAGCAGCAGGCAGCGACGCCAGTAAAGCGCAAGGTGGTAGTTAAACCCTCGGGCGAGGGAAGCCAAGTCCAGACATTAAAACCCCATGCTGACTAGATAATTAAGGACTTCAAATCGTTCTTTATGTACACACACACACACACACATTCTTTTGTATTATTTCGCGTTGCAATGTTAGGTTATATAAATAGCTGTAAAAGTTTTATTCTTTCGGGAAACGGGGGGGTTCTCGGATATCGGTTATATGCTACGTATGCTTGTTTCGATAATGCATGCTCATCCCTATTCGTAGTGGTTCGGCTGCGGGTTGGGGTTGTTCCAGCCCTCGTCCACGTCGGATCCACCGCGTCCCAGCCAGGCCATCAGGTAGACGAACAAGACGAAGGCCAGGATGCCGGCGAGCACCAGGAACCAGGTGCGTCGCCAAGGCGGCCGGGAGGAGGGCGCATAGAAACGGCGTGTCCAGCGCGAGAAGAGCTCCGCTGGCGTGCGGCGCTGGTACTTATTATCGTCCCGATCCGTACCGCCAATGGGCGACTGACGTGGCAGCAACGGTCGACGGCTGCTGGCTGTTGGGGGAGTAAAAGTTTTTGAGAAAACGGTTAACGATTGAACACAAGGTATTTCTAAGCTTATAAACTTTGATACTTGATAATCATAAAATGTAAACATTTGAGTAACATCAAATTCAAGAATAAAAAGCTTATTTGCACAGAGATACAAGAATAGAAATAAACTTTAAGAGCTGATAAAACTAAGCCCTTAGTTAATTAGGCAGATTACTTTTCTGTTCGAATGCAATCAAAATAGATTCAAGAATTAAATTTATCAAATAGGACTATCTTACGCACCATAGTCGCCCGCGCTGGGCGGATTAAATGCGTCCATCAGGAGCACGGAATGTGGGCTCAAGGCATCGTTGCCATTTGGCTTCGTGCGCTCCCGCTCGCCTCCGGAATGGATGTGATGGACTTTGGTCATGTTGCTGACGGCCGCCTGGCTGGCCACTTTTGGCTTAATGGCCTTCAGGCTGCTGGTTTGATCCTCGGAAAGCTGGGTGGGAGTATGGGTTTCAGTCAAGGAAAGGTTAAGAGTCCTTCAAAGCTTACCAGGGCCAGTCCCAGGCCATTCCGGCCCCAGTTGACCTGTGCCAGAAAGTTCTTCAGGGCCTCGGCCACGGGTGAGACCAGGTTGGAGTTGGGGAAGATCTCCACGCTGCAGGCGGGGCACTGGTGACCCCGCGGCGCTGTGTTGGCAGGCAGGGCGGCCTGGCGGGCATTCAGGCAGTCCCAGTGGAAAACGTCTGTAAATGGCAGGATATTGGCATCAGTAACTTAAACCTGCCTTCGCCGGAGGCTGTGTAATCCTTACGGTAGCAGACTAGGCGCACACAGTCGCCCTGCTCCAATGTGGTGCCGCACAGGGTGCAATTGGATATGTAGTCGCTGTCCCGCAGCCACTGCAGATACGACTGCACAATGCACTGAAAGGAACAGCCAAGGAGGTTAGCTAGGCATCCAATAAGCGGACTAAAGGGGATCCTCACCTTCGGATGCGACTGCACCATGCAATGTTCGCAAACATTGACGCGGTGCTCGAAGCAAAACTGGTTGGTCACCAGTCGCTTGGGGCACTTGCACAGACCCATTTCTACGAACACGGGCTTCCTAAGGCGCTGAAGGAATTGCACTTGGCGCACTGGGGACAGCTATAGCATATTAAAAAAAAAAACCCCGAATTAAATTAAATTTTATGTCGTTTCGCAGCTTTTGTCGGAATTTTCGAGGTGGCATTCACAGATTCATCAGCCACGTATTGGTTCCTGCGCTCTGGGCGAATGGCAACCAGCTGACGAATGTCACAGTGAATATCGTAACGGGGAAACACTTTGAATGACAATTTACGGTATAACTTTTGGGTCGGGTTTTGTGGATTTAAAATATCCGTTACATTTTTATATTGTTTCTGCACTATTGAACTAAGTGGGTCCAATGATAGTGTTAACTTATTAAAAAAAAAAATACCCAAATTTAAAAAACTTTTTTTGGATACCTTTTTAATCTAACCAATCTCGCATGTATTCACAAGTTATAGCAGTAACATCGCCGCAATTGGAACAGTTCTTGATCACAGGACAAATGCCGCAGGGCATCTGCACCAGACCTGTGGGTGGAAGTGGAGAGTTGACAGCCCGATAGACATGGGATCCATCCTGCTGACGCACCCGTTCCGCATTGCCGTCGTACACCACGGTTTTTAGGATGGTTTCCAGGTCGGCCTCCGCCAGATTAACTTTGCTGATGCCCAGATCCGAGATGAACTTCTGTACCTCATTGACCGTGCAGCAGGACATTTGCTTGAAGGCCAAAGGACCTTCGCGCTTCTTCTCCGCGCTGTCTCGTTTCATTTGCAGAAACCGCAGGCACTGCTGATTGAGAACGTCCACAAATTCCACCTCGAAGTCCTGATCCTGGTACCAAGCTCCTCCTGTGATGGATAGATCTGGTTCCAAGTTGTAAAGCATGTAAACCTTCTTTTTGCTGGCCTGTAAATTAATTATTCGGCTTCATCACTTAATAGTTGAGATACAAAATCATGTAACCTACGTTCACGGACTTGACTGCCTTTATCAGCTTTTTGGTCTCCAGATTCTTCAAGATCTTGTTGAGCTGTATCATGTTCAGATTGGACTTCATGCGTATGTCCCTTATCCATTTGCCTTTGTTGCCGCCTTCCTCCACAATTCCGTAGACCACCTTCTCCTCGTTGTCCGCATCCTTGGGCAAGGCGCTCTTCTTCTCCGGATCCTTGGCGCGGTACACCAGCTTCTCGCCCTTCTTCAGGATCTCCACGCCGCCCTGCTGAATCAGTATGTTCAAAGCCTCCACCCGCGTGGCAGCCGAGACATCGGGCAGCGCCTTGGTCAGGTCATCATTGTTGGCGCCGGCTGGGATGCCCTGGATCACCGCCAGCAACAGTTGGGACACCTCCGTCGCCATGTCGCTAAATTAAGGTGTATTTTTAATTAATAAATAAGTTAAATAAAAAGACCAACACGCTTACCATAAAAATGATAACCAAAACAAACGACTCCGGGCGAATGGCAAGCGGTAGTAAGAAGAAGATCGTAAAAACTAGGGATGAGCGCCTGTCGGACTAATAATTATTTAAATGGTTTTGGAATGATTCCAATATTGTTTTTTTGATCACCCGTAAGCCATAAGCAACTATAAATTAGTTTTTGCTTTAGCCCAGCACTCAGGTCGACGAACAGTCGGTCCTGTTTGTCAGCTGGGCTTGGTGACGAAAGGAAAAACAACTTCATTTTAACCCGCCTTCAACAAAAGTTGCATATAAATGGACCGGGAATACTTGTAGTCAACATTGTATTACTGTAGTACTTTTCCGGATTTTTTTTTGGATTTTTCCGTCCATTTTTTGATTCCACAAATCTATGCTCTGTCAACTCCTACATTTATATTAACGACGTCGTTGTCTTTGATGGAACCGATTTTTTGAAAACAACGATGTTGGTACCGACACTTCTCTACCTGTAACAGAGAAATGTTAGCAAGACGTCGAACTAACAGAGAAATGTTAGGAAAAAGTCGAACTAACAGCCGCCACCTCCAGCCGAGCACAAAAGTTTTTTTCAATTGATCTTGGTCGAACGGCTTTTCTGATTGGAGTATTCGCTGCCTGTGCATTTAAATTGAATTAAACTAATTCCAAAACAGGAAGAGCAAATACATCTCTCTGCGAGTTCACCTTTATTGTCCAAGAAGGTAAATATCAGATCATCTCGGGGTGACCTCAACCGGAACATCATCTCATTAAGCTAAATCGCGGTGAATAAAGCTAAGTAAATTCGCGGTAAAGACATCTGCTGTTGTTGTTGTTCGTGATGCAAGCAATTTCTCCACATTATGTAGAATTGAGTTTGCCGCCTCACAAACACACTTACAAATTAAATTCGCACACCCATACAGCAGCAAAAACGTCTCGTTAGCGGAATGTGTAAAGGTGAAATAGAAGTCATTCCATACGGATACCCACACCCTCACACGTACATACACTGTATAAAACACGCCATTAGGAAAAAAATGCAGCAATAATAATCTCGAACTGCTGTAAAATTCCATTATCGCAATTGTTTAATTGCCCTGTGACGACGACGAACAGAATGGGAGCAAGCTGCGATGAGTAATTTCGCATAATTTTCGTCTGTGCCGGGTTGTCGGAATTTGTTTAATACTTTGTTGCTATTTCGGTGTTGTACTGATAAGCATTTGGTTGTTGTATTCCAGAACAACCAAAAGTAACGATGCTAACGACCTTTCCTGTACAAGTTCAAGGGCAAATGCATTAAATACACAGACATAATACACATTACATATGTATATTCTCTGGAAAAGCACTTTCACTTTCAGAAGTTTTCTCTCATGCGTTTTCCGACGACAAAAGCTAAGAATTAGAAAGCTTTCGTTGCACGCTTTTTGCGCGTGTTACTCACGATAAGCGTGTGAGAGAGAAAGATAAAAGAAAAGCTATTCAAATGCTCACGCACTTGCATAATAGCGGTGCGAACGAGACAGAGATGTTTTTGTGGAGGAGATTAACTTGTCAAGGTCAGCACAGTGGGTGAATAGGTGCATGTGGGACCGTGGGCTCTTTTCCTCGTTTTTTGCCAGCTGATAAGCGGCATCTCACAGCTGTTGATCGGTTTTTTGTTTACCGACGCATACACATGCTGACATCGCGATCGCGTGCTCATACATACATATGTGTTATTAATTGCAAAAATTATTAAACTTTCGACGTATCGATGAACCTTCTGCCGGCTTGCCTGGCAACGGAGCTTTGCTCCAGTTTTCCCACGCTCTTCACGCTCTTTGGATAAACTTTTTGCACCCCCTACTCGAAAGGAGTTAAGGTATGGGCATGTATGTAGTAAAATTCACTTTTTACAAATGTGTCCTAAAATATTTACTCACAAATTTTAAAAATTTATAAATTATTAATTTACACTTTCAAATTACATTACACATTAAAGGCCTGAAAATTATAAACGATTTTGTGAGCGCCCTAAATGAAGGTAGTAAACGAAGCTTTGTGTTTTTTTTGTAACTTCTTTAAAATATAAAAAGTGAAAAATAAATAATGGAGATAAATTTCCAGCGATGATACTCTTTGGTTCTTTCAAGGTAACATCAGAATAGTGTGCCCTTCTAAAAGGGCAAAAACACACACCTTTGAGTTATCACTCAAAGTTCATATTGATTAGAAATGCATATGCAGACCCCTGACAATAGCGGTGCCCTTCAGTTTGGCGATTAGATGGTAGCTGGTATTCCATGGTCGATTATACCCTTGGTTGTACCCCTTTTATACCGCTTCTCGCGAAAGTTGGCTCTTTAGGGGTGGCCTGTTGCGCCGGCCGCTCGCCTCTTTGGACCCCAAACGTCAAACTCTCTCGTTTTTTCTGCGTTTTGCGTTTCTGCTCTCTCTTCTTTTCGGGCTACCGACATTCTGAGCGCTTTTGCTGCGGCTCGGGAAATTTTCCGCTTGCCAAAAAAATCTGTGCGGCAGTCGAACTTTTTGCCTCGTCCTCGTCGCGTCCGCTTTCCGTAATATCCGGATTTTCGGCTTGAACTTGGATAGAATATTGCCAAAATATTAAACTCGGCTAGCCGCGGCTTTGTGTGTGTTGTGCGTGGCGTTGTGTGTTGTGCAGCTGGAAGATATAGTCGTCTATACCCCAAACCCGATCTCGATCAGAAGTACGATTCCCATTGGTTCCATACTGCCCCTTCTTGGGTACGCAACAAAATGGTGAACGTAACCATCTACGATGAGGCCCCACAGCTGAAGGTACGCCAATGTCACGGGTCTGGAACTTACCTGAATTGGTCCATAAAGATATACATAATCAGTTGGCTAGTACCCGTAGCCCGATATCAGAGTCATTGGGGAAAAATTAGAAATTATGCAACTGCAGCTGCGAAAATTCTGTCGGTCGCGGTCGGCAGAACTGACCTTCGGCGGTGCAGCGAAGTCGGCGTCGACGTAGCTGCACACTTTTCTTCCGCATGCTGCTTTCTTTCTCTCTTTCACTCTTTCACTCTCTCCCGCTCTGCCTTTCTCCGGCCCTCTCTTCGAGGGCCACCCACTCCCACCCATTCAAGCACTTCTAGTACCAGCTCTTTGTTTACATCACTAAATTCTGCAGCGACATATTCCGGGTATAGTAACTAAAGACTTGCTTATTTAGCAACCTTTTCTCATTGGCTACTGAATAATGTTATGTTTGCTTTTATTTCAATGCGGAATGTCAGTTTATTGATTTAAGTCAGGATATAAATATTGTATTTGATTACTCGATGTCGGCGCTGGCCAACCGTGCTGTATTCAAATTGCTTTCGGGTGTAGAATAACTTATCACTTAATGTCCTAATAACATGCCATTGAAAAAGAATCGAACTTATATTAATTTGTTTCATGTTTCATGTTTACATTGTATACAAATTTCTATAACTTCTAACGTCTTTTCTTAGCTGCATATGGTAGTACTAAAGCTTTCGTATCCTGCTTATAAAACCTGCCGCTTAGTTTCTTCTATTTATAATTCGGTAGTAAACTTTTAACTTGGTCGATAAAAACAATATATTGATCCATGCGTAAAAATAAAGATATGGGGTAATCATGAGTTTTTGCACGCTTTCAGCTTGGTTTTTGTTGTTGGGGCTCTAAACGAGTTTCATAACCCTCTTGCGATGTGTCATTAGGGGTTGATTTCGATTTTATAGAACTCGGTATTTGGGCAAGAACTTCTTTGATTGTGAAATAGAAAGGCTTACTTGTTGCCATGGAAAGCTGCTGATTACTGGAGTCACATTATTCATTTGTGGCGGTAACCAAACTAAAAGCTAAAATGTCCAGAAGGCTCTAAAACTTGAAAATATCATTAAACAAATAAAATTAAAATGTCATTAGTACAAATCTAAGTTGAAACTGAACAAAGTTATTAAACGCCAATTTAAATAAGGCTTATCATACATTGAATATTATAAAAACAATCGTGAAATTTTTTTTGAAGAATTTGCATTATTACTTTGTATTACTTTGTAAGCTATCACTATTAGCAAAAATTGTTTATTCTATAAAATCGGTTATTTACTAATCAATTAATTAACTATTTCCAGCCCAACGAAGTACCGCAAAACATGGCCGCTGGAGCTGATACCCAACTGGAGCACATGTGCCGTCTGCAGTTCGACTCGCCAGTGCCCCATGTCCGTCTGTCTGGAATCGTGTGCACCATTGGACCGGCCTCCAGCAGCGTGGAGATGCTGGAGAAGATGATGGCCACCGGTATGAACATTGCGCGCATGAACTTCTCTCACGGATCGCACGAGTACCACGCCGCCACCGTGGCCAATGTGCGTCAGGCGGTGAAGAATTACTCGGCGAAGCTGGGCTACGAGCACCCCGTGGCCATTGCCCTGGACACCAAGGGACCCGAGATCCGTACCGGTCTGATCGGAGGCAGCGGCACCGCCGAGATTGAGCTGAAGAAGGGCGAGAAGATCAAGCTGTCCACCAACAAGGACTTCCTGGAGAAGGGCTCTCTGGAGGTGGTTTACGTGGATTACGAGAACATTGTCAACGTGGTGAAGCCCGGCAACCGGGTGTTCGTCGACGACGGCCTCATCTCACTGATCGTGCGTGAGGTGTCCAAGGACACGATCACCTGCGAGGTGGAGAACGGTGGCTCTTTGGGCTCCCGCAAGGGCGTGAATCTGCCCGGCGTGCCCGTCGATCTGCCCGCCGTCTCCGAGAAGGACAAGAGCGATCTGCTGTTCGGCGTGGAGCAGGAGGTGGACATGGTCTTCGCCTCGTTCATCCGTAACGCCGCCGCTCTGACCGAGATCCGCAAGGTTCTGGGCGAGAAGGGCAAGAACATCAAGATCATTTCCAAGATCGAGAACCAGCAGGGCATGCACAACCTGGACGAGATCATTGAGGCCGGTGACGGTATCATGGTGGCCCGTGGCGATTTGGGTATTGAGATTCCCGCCGAGAAGGTGTTCCTCGCCCAGAAGGCCATGATCGCCCGTTGCAACAAGGCCGGCAAGCCGGTCATTTGCGCCACCCAGATGCTGGAGTCCATGGTAAAGAAGCCACGTCCCACTCGTGCCGAGATCTCCGATGTGGCCAATGCCGTGCTCGATGGCGCCGATTGCGTCATGTTGTCGGGTGAGACAGCCAAGGGCGAGTACCCGCTGGAGTGCGTCCTGACCATGGCCAAGACATGCAAGGAGGCCGAGGCCGCCCTCTGGCACCAGAACCTCTTCAACGACCTGGTTCGCGGCGCCTCCACCATCGATGCTGCCCATGCCGCTGCCATCGCTGCCGTTGAGGCCGCCACCAAGGCCAAGGCCGCCGCCATTGTGGTGATCACCACCAGCGGCAAGTCGGCCTTCCAGGTCAGCAAGTACCGCCCACGCTGCCCCATCATTGCGGTCACCCGTTTCCCGCAGACCGCCCGTCAGGCCCATCTCTACCGTGGCCTGGTGCCACTCATCTACAAGGGTGAGTCTCGGTGTTGAGCCATCCTCTCAATCTTCCCCATGCTAAACATGACTTGTGCTTGCAGAACCCGCTCTTAGTGACTGGCTGAAGGATGTGGATGTGCGCGTGCAGTTCGGCTTATCCGTGGGCAAGAAGAACGGCTTCATCAAGACCGGCGATTCCGTCGTGGTGGTCACCGGCTGGAAGCAGGGCTCCGGCTTCACCAACACCATCCGCATTGTGTAAGTTTCAAATTTAAGCAAGTTGATCTTTGGATCTATGCAGATCTATGTGATATAAATTCCAACTCCACATTAATCTATCATTCCAGCACCGTCGAATAAACTTTGCCGCTCAGGAAGTACCTGGATGCGTCGCAGCTGTCGTGGGCGTCGCGTTGATTAATGTTAATAACCAAGTTAATTTATTAATTACACAATATTCGGAATATTGGAAACTGCAGGAGGCTGCTGGACCCGCTGTCGAAAGCGCCGAAGGCCTTCCAGGGCCTCAAACAGACACACACATATAATATACCATTGTTGAACAATATAGATTTCTTCGAAAGTTATAATAAAGTCATCACTGTATTTATGTATGTATGGAATTTCAAGAGAATTTATCCTATAAATTTCATTGAATACATGAAAACATTTAATAACCTATTCCATTATATCTTAATGTGATCAGTGATCATGTTGTTCTGCTCAATACTCACTAAGGTCGTGTCGAGAATGGTAATGATGGCTTATAGCTGACATTGCTGCTTGCAATAGCTCCTCACTCAACTCTTTTTTTATCCAATCTAGAAAAAAATGAACCCTCGTGTAATCACAGGCCACTGTATCTGGCCAACAAATAATATTTTAACACATTTGATTATACATTGGGGAAAAAATCTTCCAACTTTAAACAAAAATTCTTTTTGCTATTTTTAATTGTGATAATTTCAAAGTAGTTCCTAAATATTTATTAAATATATATGTCAGCCTCATTCAAAATGTAATAAAATGCTTCTATAGAACATTTTTTTTTGGGTGTACCGATATTTAATTTAAATACTTTTTGACCTTTTCTTGAAAAATTGAGTTTGTTTTGTTATTTATGTTGAAAGGTTTCATTTTCAAACATTTGATTTTTCGGTTTCTCAAAATTTAATCAAAATTAATCCATACGCCAAAATCCTTTGCCAGAGGGCGACCCTCTGGGTGGTACGACCATGTCCCAATTGCCTGTCGAACCTAAGATCTCGCCGCTATGCCAGCAAGTGCAAAAAGGAGAAGGTGAGTCGTCGGTGGCTTCGCCTTGCGGCACCTTCTAACCAATCCCCGCCAGGATGTGCCGAAGTTCCGGCTGGATCGCGGACCTTTTGCCTCCCAGCTGGATTACCAGTCGCGACTGCAATACAAAGCCCCGGCACTGAGTGTGCCCCTCAGCGGAGTTATATGCACCATTGGACCCTCGTCCAACTGCCCGGAAGTGCTCCTGGAGCTGATCCGAGCGGGGATGCGGGTGGTGCGTTTGAACTTCTCGCACGGCAGCCACGAGTACCATTGCCAGGCGATCCAGGCGGCACGAAAAGCGATTGCCATGTATGTGGAGCAAACGGGGTTGCCCAGACCCGTGGCCATTGCCCTGGATACCAAGGGTCCGGAGATCCGGACGGGAAAGCTGGCCGGCGGTAGTGACACCGCCGAGATCGAGCTCAAGCCCGGCGACAAGGTCACGCTGAGCACGAAGAAGGAGCTGGAGGAGAAGTGCACCGGGGAGACGATCTACGTGGACTATGAGCGATTACCGGCACTCGTGAAGCCCGGAAATCGGATCTTTGTCGACGACGGATTGATTGCCTTGGTGGTCCAGGAATCGAAGGCGGACGAGGTGATCTGCCAGGTGAAGAACGGTGGTAGGCTGGGCTCCCACAAGGGCATCAATTTGCCGGGCATTCCGGTGGATTTGCCCTCCGTAACCGAGAAGGACAAGCGTGACCTCAAGTTCGGGCTGGAACAGCAGGTGGACATGATATTCGCTTCGTTCATCCGCGATGCCAAGGCATTGAAGGAGATTCGCCAGGCACTGGGACCTACGGGCGAGCACATCAAAATCATCGCCAAGATAGAGAACGAACAGGGTTTGGCCAACATAGACGAAATTATCCGTGAATCCGATGGCATAATGGTGGCCCGTGGCGACATGGGCATCGAGATCCCGACGGAGGATGTTCCGCTGGCCCAGAAGTCGATCGTGGCCAAGTGTAATAGGGTGGGCAAGCCGGTGATCTGTGCCACCCAGATGATGGAGTCGATGATCTCAAAGCCGCGACCCACTCGTGCCGAAGCCTCAGATGTGGCCAATGCCATCTTCGACGGATGCGATGCCGTAATGCTGTCCGGCGAAACGGCCAAGGGCAAGTACCCGGTGGAGTGTGTCCAGTGCATGGCCAGGATCTGTGCCAAGGTCGAGGCGGTTCTGTGGTACGAAACCCTGCAGCACAGCCTAAAGCGGGAGATCCGGACCACTGCCGCGGATCACATTTCGGCAGTGACCACAGCAATTGCGGAGGCGGCCACGGTGGGTCAGGCCCGGGCCATAGTGGTGGCCAGTCCCTGCTCTATGGTGGCACAGATGCTCAGCCACATGCGGCCGCCTTGTCCCATTGTAATGCTCTCCGGCTGCCAGTCCCAGGCAGCCCAATCCTTGATCTTTCGAGGCGTTTACCCATTGCTCGTCGAAGAAATGGTCCTGGGTAGCTTCAATTTCCGACGCATCATGCAGTCGGGCCTCAAACTAATGGCCAAAATGGACATCCTGGAGCCGGGCCACAAGGGATCGGTGGTGCTGGTGAATGCCATGTCGGCGGACAAGATCACCTTCCGACTCTTCACCATTCGGCAGCAGACGAAGGCGGAACGGGATCAGGAGGAGCTTTGCCAGAAACTAGTGCTTGAACAGCGGTGCAAGGAGAGGGCTCAAAAGGAGTCCTGTCAAAAGCTCCAACAGGCGGAAGAATGTAGAAAAAAGCGCGAAGAGGAGGAGTGCAAGCAGCAGAAACTGGCCGAAAAATGTAAGAAACCCGTAGAAAGGCTAGAGATTTGCCCGAAGAAAGAATGTCCGAAGAAAGACGATGAGGCCGCGAAATGCCAGCAGATGAAGGAAGAAAGACTTGCAGCTGAGAAGAAAAGGAGAGAAGAATTGGAAAGGTGCTGCAAATTAGCTGAAGAAAAGAAAAGTCTAGAAGATTTTGAAAAGATCTGCAAATTAGCTGAACTTAAAAATAAGAAAATGGAAGCTGAGAGGTGCAATCAAATGGAAAAAGAAATGCAGTGTAAGCTAGCTGAAGAGCAGAAAAAAAAGGAGGAAGCTGAAAAGTGCAAGAAACAAGAAGAAGAAATGAAGTGCAAGTTAGCTGAAGAGAAAAAAAGGAATGAGGCGGAGCTCAAGATAAGGTGCTGCAAATTAGCTGAAGAAAAGAAAAGTCTAGAAGATTTTGAAAAGATCTGCAAATTAGCTGAACTTAAAAATAAGAAAATGGAAGCTGAGAGGTGCAATAAAATGGCAGAAGAAATGCAGTGTAAGCTAGCTGAAGAGCAGAAAAAAAAGGAGGAAGCTGAAAAGTGCAAGAAACAAGAAGAAGAAATAAAGTGCAAGTTAGCTGAAGAGAAAAAAAGTAATGAGGCGGAGCTCAAGATAATCGAGGAGGAAGTGGCCAAAATGGAAGCCGCTGAAGAGGCAAAGCGATTGGAGGAGGATAAGAAAAAGGAAGTGGAACTCGTTAATTGCAAGCAGCTGTGTGAAGCAAAGAAAAAGATTGAGAAGGATAAAAACTGCAAAAAAGCAGAGAAAAAAAGGGAATTGGCAGAAATGGAGAAAAGGTGGAAACAGGCTGCGGCCGAAAGAAAGCGAAAAAGAGAGGCTGATATTTGCAATAAACTGGCGGATGAAAAGAAAAAAGCACAAGCTGAATCAGCAGACAGGATTTTGAAATCAGTGTGCAAAAAGCTAAAAGACTCCCTCAAGGATCCTGATTCTTTCAACAATGGAAAAAAATAAGATTTAAACAAGATTTTTTTTTATATAATTTTAACGGTAAAATTAAATCGAATAAAGTCTAGTATTTTCTTGTTCACATAAAGGTTAAGCCGGCAAGGTAAGTTATCGATAACACATTTATCGGATTGCACCAAGTAAACAAATCTCGCTATTTCGTTTTATTGTGAAAGCTTGTCCCGCATTATAGAGTCATTTGCGTCGGGAGGATCTACTACCATGTCATTGCCCACGACCAGAGCCACCACGGCAACGGCGACCCACGCGGTTGTCCAGGCCGTGGATTCGTACATTCAGAACCAGAATTTGCTGGGCGAGATCGCCGAACTGGACGACATGCTGTACGATCTGGTGCACATGCACAAGGACAACGAACTGGCGCTGAAGCGGGTGCTGCAGTGCATCCACAATCTGCTGCAGACGAACTGCAAGTGGAACGTACGCTTCGGTCCGAAGGTATTCCACAAACTCGTCTCCGTGGTGATTGCAGATAGCCAAGAGGATTCAGTCAGTCGGCGGCAACTGGTGGCCAACTTGCTGGTGTGCGTGCAGCTCCATATCCGGAAGTTCCCGCGCATCGAGGCCAAGTTCGTGCTGCAACAACTCTGGTCGCTGAGCCAGAGCAATGAGAACCAGCCTCATGCGGCCCAGATCTTGGTCCATCTCTTCGATGAATTTTTACACAACCTGGGCCCGGATTGCGGCCCAGAATTGCTGGCTATCACCCAGAATCTCCTGCAATCCGAAGTGCGCGAGGATCGCCGTTCGGCTTATTTCCTTATGCACAAGCTGCAGGAGAACAAGGAAGTGATGGCTGCGCTGCAGTGCAGCGAACTGCAGTGGAGCGCCTATGTGGGCATCATGGAAAACCTCGAGGAGCAGCAGTCACACCTGGTGCTGCCCACCTTGAGCACCCTGCTGCCACGCTTGGGCTTGATGTCTAGTAACTTGAGTAACGATTGGCTGGCCTGGCTAAGGATTCTGTGCAAACGCCTCCTGGGCGACAACAACATCCTCGTGCTGCGCTGGACCCTCAAGTACTTCCTGTCGCACTCCAGCCTGAGTCAGCTGTCCCGCTTCAATCTGCTGCCCGAATTCCTGGCCGCCACCAACCGAACGCAGCTTTACAATCCGGAGGTGCCCGATTGCCTCACTCGAGAGCAAATAAAAAACTTCGTAAGGGAATCTCAGCCGGAATCTTTGCTGGAGGCTCTGGTTGGTGTTCCATGGCATTGTGTCCCATTGCTCCATTGGATGGCCGGCTGGGGAATAGAACCGTTGCCCGTGGTTTCCAAGGGGTTGCTCTTTCAGTTAAGTGCCCGCATTCGCGCCCTGCAAAATACTATTCTGCGATATGCTGCCATCAAGGCATTAAACTATTCGTTAAGTGTAAGTTTACCTGCGAACGTAATTTATAAATATTCTTTGATTTGACCTCTTTTACAGGCCACAATTGACAGTCTGTCTTTGGGCGATTACCTTCTCTTTATTGAGTCTTTGTACAATACCATTGACAAATATGTTGACCACCATAGACTTCAAATTAAAATCAAAAACTGCAGCGATTTGGTGGAGCATATTGGTAATTTCAACAGTCGTTGCTGCGAGATTGTCTCTCAAATGGACTATAAGTTGGATGTTTTCGTTGCTTTTTTGGAGAAATTAACGACAGTGCCGAAATCCCAACATGGTTGGTGGCGTCTTTTACCCATATTTTTACACCGTCAGCTGGATAATCCCGAAATATTCTTGAGTTTCTATCGGTCTGTATATAACGTGGATACATCATTGCTGCAGAGTGGTGTCAGTCTGGAGGAATTGCGGCAACACCTGCTTGATCGCTTGGATTGCCAGACCAGAGAGGAGAAGTCCTTTGTCCGCGAGCACTGCGTGGATCTGTTTGTTAGACTTAATCTACAAACCTGGAACAAATTGAAGGAGTTGAACCTAAAGCCCTTGGAACTGCTGGACCAGGGAACTGAAGATACATTTTTAGTGTTGTCAATTCTTTTGTCCACGCATAAACAACCCCTAGAAGTGGAGGAGGCGAATGTCTTGCCCGCTCTAATTTCCCGCTTGGGAAAGCTTAAGTGTCAGGAAACGTGAGTGCAAAACATGAACCAAGTTTTTTATCATCTACTTATTTTAATCTTTATTTTAAGGCAAGCAATCTTGTTATACGCGTCAGACAGTCTTTCTGCAGAAGAGTACGAGAAATGCGTGGTGGATGTTTTGCAAAAGAACACTTTCTTATTGGGTACCATGAATTGCGAAGATTACATTAAAGCACCGTCCTCTTTTGTCCTAAAAAAGCTGCTGGAAGGAGAAACCACCACTGGCGACGCAAGGTAAGAAAAAGAATCGTAGAAGTATTCAAATATCGTTAATGTATATACTAACCCCGCAGAATAGAACGCGCTTTCGAGCTTACATTCGCTCAGATCGGAGTTGCGGAAGCCTGGACCCGAATGCAATTTATTCGCTATGCAAATAAGTACAAAGATTTGAATGTGAGTAGCATCTGTGACGATTTGTTGAGCATGAACAACGAGCTGTCCAGAAAGAAGCCACGTTATTTTGCCAACTGCAAGGAACATAGGATGAAAATGCGAATCGCCAAAGCACTTCTCGACCTAAGCGATCGTTGGAAATGGTCGAGTGATTTATGGGAGGCCGCCTTGTGTTCCAGTGATCAGCCAAACATAAGCTTCATGTACGAGTACCTTGTGGCCAAGATGTTACCCATTATCGATCCGTTACTGGAACAACTAAAACTGCTGCCAACTCTGAAGCCCAGTCAACAAATGTCGCTTGTCTCTGTTGTGCATATTTACTGCCTGTCTCGCTGGGAAAGTCTAAAAGTGGAGCAGTTATCCGAAATCTTTGCCGTTCTAATACCACTCACAATGGGTGCGAATTTTCAGACTCGACTGTTGGCCCAGTTGGTCCTGTATCGCCTTTGTACTAAATGCGAACTAAGTAGGTAAAGTACTGATTACTATAAAATAGTTTATAGATTATTTTTAATGATATGTATACATTTAGCATTCCAATGCCCATAGCTGATGCACTGAAGCACTCCATCGAGGTTACTTTGGGTGACAAATTGGATGAGTTCCAAAGCGAAGCTCGACTTTTGCTACCGGAAGTGGGCTTACAATGCCCTAGGAGTATTTCTGCCGCCATTCTCTGGATGACTAATGCACCCTTTGATGAAAACATTGATTTTGTCAGCTGTAGAATTCACTTTAGAATGAAACTTGAGCGGGCACGTCAGTCTTTTCAAGCGAAAAAGTCAGGATTGACAACTGAGATGGCCTCGCCTTCGGGTGCATGCAATGGAAATGTGCAGAGGAAAATGAATCCCATTGGAGATATCTATCCGGAAAGTGACTTTGTCGATGCGAGCACAGCCTCTGATCAGAATGAGCTAATTGTGGTGGCTTCCCTCATAGACAAGCTGCCCAATTTGGGAGGATTGGCGCGCACCTGTGAAGTGCTGGGTGTTAAGACGCTGATATTGGGCCTGAAATCGCAGGCGGAGAAAAGCGATTTTACTAACTTAAGGTATGTTTATTGCGATGCAAGTGAGATCATACAATTTAAATAATATCTTGCAGCATGACAGCCGAGAAAACTTTAAGCATTGTCGAGGTAAAACCGGAAACTCTTGCTGAATTTCTATTGGACAAGCAAATGGAAGGATATAAAATAGTTGGAGCTGAACAAACAGCACACAGCACAAACTTTGTTGACTTTAAGTTTCCCAAGAAGAGCATTTTATTGTTGGGGTGTGTTACGCATTTTCTTGTTTTTATATATGTACATAGTTAAAATTAATCATTTCAATCTCTCAGGCATGAAAAGCATGGAATACCGGCGGATCTTATTGGATTCTTGGACTACGCTGTCGAAATTCCTCAGTTCGGTTTCGTGCGCTCGTTAAATGTCCATGTGACTGGATCACTTTTTATTTGGGAGTATTGCAAGCAGCACTTAGCAAAAAAGTAAATCGTTATATAAAATGCAATTCACAAATGCCTTGAGGAACCCAAGTACAAATGTATTTGTATAAAATAAAATGTTTTATTAAAGTATAAACATAAAGTTTACCAAGCTTTTACTAGAAATACAATTATTTTGGTTGGTAGGCTTTGAACAATGCGGTTTTAAGTGTTATGATAAGTTAAATATATTTATATTTATAATAATATATTTTTACAAAATTAAAATGACCGGCTTGTTATCGATAAAAATACATCGATAATTTGTAGTTGATATATGGCTTAAACAGCTGATCGAAAAAATAACTAAAATCAAAAGTAAACAATTTGGAAACACGGACGCTAAAGCCATGAGCTTCTCGGAAAATACATCCGATTCAGACTGGTAAGCCCTCAAAACGCGTACTTAATATAACTGAAACCAAATACAATGAATTGCAGGAAGGCGGCCAGGGTGAAAGTGGCGCGGACCATCAAGGAATCCTCGAAACAAACCAAGGAGCAGAGATCCAAGTCGCCCAGGACCTTTAAGCCCAAATACAATCAGAAATTCTGCGAAAAGTGGCTGAAGATCTTCGACCCATGGCTGCGACGAGCTGCCGAGGATCCCAACAAGCCCTTCTGTCGCGCCTGCCACTGCACCATGGACTGCAACCGGTGCCACCTGGTGCGGCACGAGCGGACCACCAAGCACAAGCGCAATCTGGAGGCACTGCTCACCAAGGGCGAGGGGGCGGCGCTCCAGGAGTTCCGGATTCGCCAGGAGCGTAGCAAGTATTACCATCAGCGGAAGTTGGCCATGCGGCAGGATGAGGATGAGCAGGCGGCGGAACAGCAGGACTTGAATACACCCACAGGGACTACTGCAGATCCTGTCCCCATGGTGGAGCTTCCAGATCCGAATTTCTGCACCCCCACCATGGAAAAAGTGGCAATGCCCAAACAAGAGCTGCTCTCGGAAACGGAAGTCAACACTAAGGCTTCGGAATCAACAGCCAACCCGCCCAGATGCAGTGGCTCCTCCAACCAGGAGGGCCTCAAGTTACTCATGCAGATCCACCAGGACAAGAACGAGTTGATGGACTCCTTTCGCGAGCTGATGGGCAGCCAGACACAGAACCACACTCAGCCGCCCAAGGAGAAGAACCATGTGGATCTGTTCTTCGAGAGCGTTAGTTCCAGTGTGAAGGCGTTGTCCCCAAAGCTGGTGGCAGAGGCCAAGATGCGGGTGTCTCAGCTGATCTGCGAACTGGAGCTGCGCAGCCTCAACGAGGACAGCTCCAAGGAAGCAGGCGCAAATGGCTTGCATATACTCCGACCATCAAGACATGATGGTCAAACGATGACCCAGCCACCTGGTTTCGGCGGCATCATTTGAGGTTCAACGGATAGATGCAATAATTAGGTCTTTATTTGCTATTTCTGTTGTTAAATAACTAATTAAATAGGCCGTACTTTTACCAAGTGTATAAAAACTTCTGTTAAGATGTTGAAATATTAAATAAATATTTGAATTTGTACTTTATTTAGTTTTTAAATAAACTTTTCAAATAAGGTGCCAACTATCGTACATGTACATGTTATCGATAACTTTGATAGGCAAAGAACAATCCAGCGATTGCCATCTCTAAAGCGCGGCTGCATTTTGTTTAAGATTGTATTAAATGTATGATTTTTAAGCTATTTTAAAGTGTTTAAAGGCTGATTTAATAAATAATTAGATAATGTGGAACAACTCGAAAGTGTGTGAGAAGAATAACACTAAAAGCGAGGAGAACGAGGAGGAGGAGCCGTCATACGTCAAAGAAGTAGATCACTTATTTCGCTTTGTTTACAAGAATTAAGGTGCAAATATGCATTTTCAGCCGGAGGCGACTAGTTCGCTGTTGATCAAACGTAACAATATGCCACTAAGACGAAACCAACTACTCGTTTCAAAGCCAATCCCCCAGAATCGCCAGGAACTGCTCCAGAACATCGGACGGGATCGTGAGATTCTGGGGGCCTACTTCCAGAGGTTGGCTAGCCAATCGGCTCCTAATCCTCCAACTCCAGCTTCAGCTCCAGCTCCTAAGCCAGCTCCTCCAGCTCCCCAGAGAAACAGCTACGACCTGTTCTTCGAAAGCGCCTGTGTCAGTGTCAAGGGATTGCCACCCAAACTGGCCGCGGAGGCCAAGAGTCGCATCTCCCAGATCATCACCGAGTTCGAGATTCGCGCCATCTCGGAAATGGAAGCTCAGCAGGAGCGCCAGATGCAAAAGCAACCCTACAGGAGCGGTGATGCATCGGGGATTCTTTACGAATTTCGGCCCTGCCCGTAAAGTAGGTTGGGTGTTTGCCGTTCAAGCTCCACAACCACACTCTCCTCACCAAAACACAAACTTCACATTTTCGACGCCCTTCAACTCCGGACTATCAAAATTCAGAATAAAATTTAAAGCGTTCTACAACCAGTAAACACCACACAGGCGGTCATTTGGTCGCGTTTCGGCCCTAAATTAAAGAAATACGTTGATATCTAACAGGTGGAACGATGGCCGGAAAGCTGAAAGTATGCATCATTGGCGCCGAGGGCTGGTAGGTTGATGCCATTATTATCAAGCTATACACAAATATTATAAGGAATTTGTATATTTTAGGGGCTCGGCCATTGCGGCCGCCGTGAGCAGTAATGTTTTGCAGGGAGACTTTGATCGCCGGGTGCATATGTATGTCAACGATGAGATGATTCGCAACAGCATGCTATCGGAGGTCATCAACAGTCGCCACGAGAATGTCAAGTATCTGCCTGGGATAAAGCTGCCCAAGAACTTGGTAAGAGCCATTTGCCGGCAGATTATCCAATCAAGTCACCAAACTAAATGGTAATCCCCTTTGCAGATCGCTGTGAATGATCTTTTGGAAGCTGCCCAGAACGCAGATATCTTGATATTTTCCACGCCCCTGGAGTTTGTCAATTCCTACTGCAACATCCTGGCCGGAAATGTGAAGGAGTCTGCCTTTGCCGTGTCCATGACCAAAGGTTTGACGCGGGTGCGAGGAGGAGAGGAAGTGGGGCTCGTGTCGCAGGCCATCGGTGAGCGACTCGAAATCCCGTGCTACTCGATGATGTCCGCCCACAGTGCCATGGAGATGGCCCAGGGAAAACTGTGCGAGGTGACCATCGGTTGCAGTGACGATGCGCATGCCAAGCTGCTGACCGCCGCTCTGCAAACCAAGAATTGCCGTGTGATTTCCGTCAATGACGTTGATGGCGTGGAGCTGTGCGGAACGCTCACGGACGTTATAGCACTGGGAGCTGGTTTTGTAGATGGTCTGCGGCTGGGCGAGAATGCGCGAGTGGCCGCCATTCATCTGGGCATCAAGGAAATGATGCGATTCATTAAGACGTTCTTCCCCTCCGCCAAAATGTCCACGTTCTACGAGAGCTGCGGCGTGGCCAACTCGGTCGCTTCAAGTTATGGTGGGCTTAAGACTACAATTTCTAATTTATAATTTAAAAACTTCAAATACCCTTACCCGCAGTTGATAAAAATGCCACTTTTGCCAAGAGCTTAGTCACTTCAGGCAAAACGATAGAGGAAATAGAAGCAAATCTTCTTCATGGCCGCAAAATACTGGGTCCCATGGTGGCTGCTGATGTGAATGCATTGCTGGAGAGGGAGCTTATGCAGCACGAGTAAGTGGCAACACGTTCATTTCTATGTTATAATAAATGTACCCAAATATGTCTGCAGTTTTCCTCTTTTTACGGCCATTCATCTGATATGCCAAAGCGAAGCCTCGCCTGAACTTATGCTGGAGGCACTGCAAAACCATCCAGACTTGAGGTAAGCAGAGTGACTGGTTCAAGATTATCCCCAATTTATTCACATCCCGTCAATAGCAATTCATCCATTTCGCATCTACTGAGCCATGAGTCCGCGAAGGGCGGGCAGAATATGGATCAAGTGCTGGATCAAGTGGCCAACACCCTGCCAAAACTGAGGACTGCCCTAGACAAGGTTCTGGCCGAGTCGGGCAATAAGAGTTTCAAGCAGCTGAAGGTAATGGATGACTGGACGGAAGTCAATGACTACGAGGTGGAGGAGCCGAGTCGGCAAGAAGTGACCTCACAGGATTCCTCCCTTGAGAACGAGGAAATGCCCAGACGATTAAGTGTGCAAGCCGCCCAGCTACAGGATGACATTCGCGATGGCAATGTGCAGCTGGCCTTTAAGATGGACATCAATGAAGGTGATCGGCATTTGCGGCTTTTGCTGGCAGAGGAGCGAGAAAGATCCGGCAACAATGACGACATGGTGATAGCTTCCAGACTAGTTGCAGGCGAAGAGGACGACAGTGACAGGATGGGTCATGGAAACATTTTGGACTCTTCCGCAGGATCTGATCAGAAGACCGACAAAGCCTTTCCCTCTGTCATAACCTCCAACGATACGCATGACGTCCTGGACTTGACCTCGGAATCTGAGCCACTCCCTGCGGAGCCGAATTCTTCCAAGCTTTCAAAGATAAATAAATTCAAAGATTCAATCAGCATACAGGAAGCGGTCAATTCGAAAGCTCAGGAGAATCTCATAAAATCCATTAGGCAAACTATTCAAGCACTTGGTGATAAAGAGAAAATGGAACATCTAATTGCTGAAAATCAAGCACAGGAGGAGAGTTCACAATTGGAAAACCAAATGGAAGAGGAAACTTCCCAACTGGAGGATGAATCATCCGAAATGAAAAGTCAAATGGAAGAGGAAACTTCTCAACTGAAAAGCCAAATGGATGAGGAAACTTTTGAACTAAACAAAGTTGATGAATCCCACTTTGTTGCGTTCAATGCTGAAGACGAGGAAGCTCTGGACGAAACCACTGACAAGCAGCAGTACAAAGTGAAATCAGAAACTGAAAACCTTAAAGCGCTTATGTTCAAGGATTCAGAGGAGCCTTTGGAGGCCGAGAAGCTTTCTGAAGTGAGACTACAGAATGAAAACGATTTTGATCTGGATGAAGATGAACCAGTTATAGGAAAAAAGGACCGTACCTACACCAAAGAGCACATGGAACTCCAGGAGCTGCTCGAGTGGCAAAAACTAAAACCCCGGGGGGATGAACATCCATACGGTTCAGCCGAACTGGAAGATTCTGCAGTTTGGGAGGAAAACGCGAGGCTTCCAGTGGAGCATGAAGATTGGTTGCAGGATGTGGCTAACCATCAGGAGGCAGAACTCGTTCAAGTGCGGGCTGAGAACAAGGACTTTAGCTTACCCGAGAACGAGAAGATGCCGAAAAAGGTTCGCCAGTTCAGCGAAACCAACGATGGTGAAACTACTGGTAACCACGAGTGGGATTGGCTAATGAATAATGAGAAGATCGGTATGGATGCCGAGGAGCGCATGGAAGAAAGGGATGAAACACTCAGCAAATCTGACCAGGAGAAACTAGACAATCTTGACCATCAACTAAAGGAAGCTTTGCAGCATGACTTGGCCGTCATGTCGACTAGCCAAGGAGATGAGTCTAAGAAAGGCTTGCCTGATGCAGAACTAGATCCCGAAGCTGCTAAGAGAATTACTGAGCAGCCAGGGAACCCCACTCCCACTCCCAACCAAATTCCCGCTGTGCCCCTGCCGGTGGCAGTGCCAGAGCAGCCCAGCAAGCAGACCCACATCCGTGAGGGCACACCCCAGTTCCAGAACCAACCAGGTACTGTTCCACAACATGCGCCTCAGACCAAACCGCCCGCGCCCAAGGAACACCAGTCCCCCCACACAAATGCTCCAGTTAAATTTGAGCACTTGGATGGAGACAGGCAGCCGGAGACATCACCTGCGGATCAGCAGCCGCCTGTGGCTGAGAAGGTATCCAAGACTGAGCCGGTGGCTAAGGAGGCCTCCACGAAGCCACCGCAACCTAAGGAGAAAACTCCACCAGCTCAGCAGAAAAGGCCCGTGAACAAAATCAAACAGCAGGGTGATGCCGATCCCGCAGACCACCGCCTCAATACCCAAAAAACCGAAAAGCATCGTTCAAGTATTGAAAAACAGAAGAAGCGGCTGGAAAGCGTGGACAAGAAGATCAGCATAATGCGCAAGGCCGATCGTCGGGTTAGCTACAGAGGCCAGAATCCCTACAAGGGGGAGCCGGATCGGGACTCCAGGCCGCCGATGGACACTAGCATACAAGAGGGCAAAGCGGGACAGTCCGAGGGTCTGGGCCATCAACGTCGCAAGGTGGTGGTGACGCCACCCTTCAATCCTCCCATCAATCCACGAATGCGCGTGCCACGACCACCGTTCGATGGGCGAGATCAGGAGTTCCATACAATGACGGCCTCTTCGGCTACAAAATGGCCATCCATGCCCAAGAATCTGAGGCAGAATCGCACCTCCCTGGTCGGCACCATCCAGATGAAGCATCTCTCCGATTTGCGCAGTCAAATGCCAACCACCGTGCCACCACCCTTGTGGAAGATACCCTTGGGAGTGCCGCGCACGCCCACATTTTCCAAAATTCTTTGTGCCCTGCAGTTGGGACTGCTCGCCTCCTACTTGGCTTGCTGCAAGAAAAACTAAACTTTGGACTCATCTCTGGACTGCCAGGTAAAAATCCAATGATGCAACGTAACCATCGATTCCCCTGATGTAAGCTGCAGTACGAGCTCTGTATAGAATACTTTACATTTTATTGAGAATAAAGGGGTGTTTCTACGTTTAATTTTCTGGCTAAACCCATATCAGTCCTTGCAATTGCTCCGGCTGCAGCGGCCGGAAGGGTTGACGGTGGAAAATCAATCGGTTTTCCTGCGACTGCAACGGTCGTGCATTATTGAGCAGCGGACGCCTCCGCTCGTCGAACAGCAGCCAAAATTTGGCCAGGTCCTGTATCCAAATGGGCAGCACCTCGGCGAACACATGCCACTGGACCACCGGTGAGCAGGGGGGCGTGGTCAGGGATCCCTTGTATGTGTAGAAATTGCCCCTGTTCAAATTGCCCAGCATAGATCCCAGGGTAAGGTGTTCCTCCACCGTGTAGCTGCTGCTAAAGTTGCTCAAGTGGATCAACGAATTGAAGATGTCCCTAAGTCCGGGTTGGTAGAACGCAGGACCATGCTAAAAAGTCGGATTTACTTGATTATTAGTTAAAGCTATAGGCTACTAGATACCCATTACTCAGCTTATCTGTTTTAGATGGCGCCATCTGTCGAACTATTAGCTAAAACTTTAGGTGGCGCCATCTGCCGACCATTGACATTTACGCCAATAACTTTAAAAATATTGGTTCGATTTGGAAAATAATGGAATAAGTTAATATACATCGACCGAATAAACATATAAGGAGCATAACTAACCGAGGTCTGGATATTTATAAAAAGCCACAGGTGGACATGACTTTTTAAATATCATGATAAATACACTATATAGGGTCGTTAACCATGTCTTCTTCCTATTATATACTTATCAAGGAATACAGTATGCCCTTTTATCCTGCGATTATCAGGTATAATAATATTATAAAATGGAAAGCTCAGATTGTTAAAAAAAAACTAAACCCCAATATCTTGTATATATTGACTAGTCTCCATGCTTATGGTATACCGGAGAGCTAAACGTGGCTTGATCTTTACTTACTTACCCTCACAACCTTAAAGAGCACCGCCAGAACAGTCACTCCGTCAGTGTAGTTTAGTGCCTCATCAAAAGTCAGATATTTAGTATTCCGATGGACTATGTGCATTTCCAGGTCATAATAATGACCATTGAGCACGTGCTCCGAACCCTTTGATTTGCGGGATCCCCAATGGAAGTGCACGGATTCAGCTTCATAGAAATCCTGCAGCAAGCCACCACTGATATAGGGTTTAAATCCATAAATCGTCGAAGGCACATTGAATTCCACTAAAATTCGAATGGATTAGATGACATAACAATCATTGATTAGTACATGTTTTTAAATACCTGTATGTCCACTGTTTTTCACGGTCACCAGATCATCAAAGAGCTCATCGTAGAACCCGAATGTCAGAGGAGGCAAGTTAAGAGGAATCACTTTTCGTCTGTGAATTGCAATAGGCGATTGATCAAAACCTCCGCACTGCGGATGTTTAAACTGCCACAGGTCTGGCGTTTGGTAGTCAAATTCATTGGACCTAAAATCTGAAAAGCAAGTAAAAGAAATGACATTTTAACTCTATAACAATAAGCCAAAAAGAAATAATCTTATTTAAATGGTTACACAGTTATGCTATAATTTAATATTAAATTAATTCTGAAACTCTCTTTGCTTTTATTTAATGTTAAATTAATCCTAAATGTGAAAATTTCTGAATCTAAAATCTTCCTTTACCTATTTTCAAGTTTTGTAGATTTGGAATACACTTTAAAGTTAAGCACTTGTCACATTTATTCAAAAGAAAACCTATTTCAAATTTAATTTGATCCATTTCCTAGGTAATTTTTCCATACTTTGCCCTAAATTGGCGTGGTCATTTTGTAAGACATTAGGAAGGCCGTTGAAGCAATTTCTGCACTTGCCAATTTCCAATAGTCTTCGCAATTTCTGAAAATTTCACAGAGCCTACGGTTATATGTCTAAGCGAGGCATAATTGCTTGATGGAAACCTCCTTTTGTTTACATTGTTCCAAACGATGGATCGCACACGCTGGTCTTATAACAATAGATGGTACTTCGACATCTACTCCGCCCCCGAAATTGACGCGCTCATTGGCTTTCATGGGGCATTTGTGGATGCAAATTTAATTATTGTTATTATTTACAAGCCACCGGCTTGTTTGCTATCCATTAGATGAACCGCGATGATACACTTTTATGGGTGAAGGTGTAGTGTAGAGTGTAGAGTGTGACATATGTGAGGGTTCGGTTGGAGGGGATGGCTCATAAGTTCCCTTATGGGTATGAATATTACGTAGCTATGTTTGTTGTTTATATGGGGTTTTTATGTCGCGACGTCTCAAAATCTAGGCCTTATCGATGGCGTCTCAATATCAAGGAGATCTTCTAAGGTATTGTTTTTTTTCGGACGCGACACACCTCAGTGGTTTGCATTTCGCTACTCACTTGCGGCAAACGGCAGCAGAAATAGAATTCGCTGATAGAAGTCTTCAAAAGCCGGAAAATGCATTTTCCACCTGATCACCCGCTCTATGCACTCTATACACCGATCTTTATAAACTTGGTCTAACCCCTGACGAAGAAGCCAAAGTTATCCACGCACGTTCTTCTGCAGACTGTGCCACGATCGGCTTTGGCCAAAACCTTTATACTACCAAAGGGCCATAGTTTGCCCCACTGCGGGAGTAACATTGTCAAATGCTCGACGGAGCAGCAAAAGATGTTTATCTAGACTCGACGTTGCTATACCCGGTACTTGAGTTCGAGCCCCGTTTCCCCAAGATTGCAAATTGTAATTGAAAAATGTTGTTCGATGGGGAAAAAAAGAGATTAGGCAAATTGGAATTCGTCGACTCAAACGACAGTCGTATATAATCTAGGTTTTGCTAATTTCTGTAAATTATATTTATAAAAAGTTTGTCTAAATATAAAAAAACGGAACTTGGTTACGTATAGAGCACGTGGAAAATAGGTAATCTAATATTTCTTGTGCTTTGACATAACTTACCAGTGAAATGGCTTGGCCATTAACGTCTTGGCCAATGGATTCCTATTGGCACTCGTGGCTCATAAATTTATGGTAGCAAAAAGTGTATTTAAAATCTAAAAATACTTATATAATGAAACAAACTTATGTTTAAATTAAAGAATTTTTCCATATTTGTTTAAACTTATTCCTGAACTACTTACATAATTTACATATTTATTTATTCAAAGTAATAATTTTTTACTTAACTTTATAATCAAACATAAATATAGATATTACAATTTTAGTATTACATTAACATTACCCATAAAAACATATTTTTGTAACATTTTGCAAAAACTTACAAATAAATACATAAGTCATGTTTAATTTGATCTCTGCTCATGACATCCTCTTGTGAGTTTGGTTTTTAACTGGCTTTTTGGTTGGTCCTTGAGTTATGAGTTAATTTTGGTAGCTTAGCTTAGAAAGGTAAATGCTGCAGACTCTTGAGATCCAGTTTTCGGTAGTAAGTCAGTTGCGCAGCTGAGGAATGCAAAAAGTTTCTTATTATTTCTCAGATGTACATGTCACACAATCGAAATATAGAACATGACTTATGTATATATATTCTTTTTACTTTTACAATACGAAATTCGAACAGCTTTCAGCTGAGTTTATTTAACAAATCAGCTAAATTGCAATACGGAGCTGCATATCACGCGTGGCAGAAATTTTAGGATTAACAAAGACAAAACCCTTGTTTGACAAGAATTATAAATGTATTTTAAAAGTTAGTTAAGGGACAAAAAATAAAAATAGAATTAAAATAGAAAACATACTTGTTTAAATTTTGAAATTAAAATTAAATAGCAAGAAAAACATAACAAATTTAAGAATAGTCTAAATTTTACATATAGGTACTCCAAAATTTTTGAAAGTAAGAAAGTTTGGTAATTTCGATGAATTTTATTTTACAAAATTAAATTTAAATTTTAAGCAAACCATTTAAGGCCTCAGCTTTAAACTTAAAAATAAATTTACAACACATAAATTCAAGAAGATATTGAAAATTGCTTGTAAAATCCAAATTTACTATAGTGTTTTTTTTCTACCCATGCCAATTTGTGAAAGCCAATTTGTGAAAGACAATTTAGTAAGACTCAAAAAAACTAAATAAATCTTTAATATGCATGCTTTTTACTGTTTAGCTGCCAAGTTGACAGAAACAATTCGTTTTAACTCATTTTTATGACACAACAAAAACAAGTACAAAAATTTCAGTTAATGTTATTGTTATTGATTTTCCCAGTCGATCCGAAATCGAGCGTAAAACCCAGCGCAAATCAGCTGTTTGGCGGCTTCGTCAACAAAACAATTATATATCCGCCGCAGCCGCAAAAAGAAAAAAGAAAAAAAAAACAAAACAAAAAGGCTACTGCGCCGCGATAAAATTGTTTGCCAATAAGAATCGGGCTTAGTGCGAGGTGGCATCCGAAAGATACAGGAACGTGGCTGCAGCTGCACCAGGAAAAGCAAAAGACCATGGTTTTCTTCAAGTTCTTGAAGAGCAAACTGTAACGTATATATGTAGATATACACACATATAAACACAACAGATCAACGTAAACATACGCGAAAAAGATACGAGAGAAAACAAAAAAGATACAAAGTAAGATACTATTCAACCCACGAGAACAACAATATGCGCGAAATTCAGGCGTAAGTATGCGAAGGTGTGGGGGCGTTGTTTACGTCTAGGAAGTATCTAAGTATCTGGTATCTGGTGGATACCTGTCCGATATATCTGCAAGAGAAACTAAGATTCGAACCGAGAATGAGTTTTTGAGACTTGAGACTTGCGACTGAGACTGAGAATGAGGCGAGCAAAACACAAAAACCCAAAACGACGCGAAAAAGTATCTGTGTGACTATGAATGGAGCACATTTGTGTGGGGGTGTGCGTGTGATTATGCTGCCGTCTGGACATCAGATAATACGAATTATATTTTGTTTTTGTCTCGTCATGTTGGCCGAAGCGCGCGTTTTTTTTTTCTTATGCCGCGCTTGTATCTATCAGATACACTAGCCGAAAAATATGTGCGGAATGTGCGGGGTTTTCGTATTTTGTGTATTTTATGTATTTTTTTTGCATTATTTTGTCGAGGCTTCGCGGAATGTCCGCCGCTGGACCGCGTTTCAATCGCATCCGGACGGTGTCGAGGTGATCACACGTTAAAAATTTCGAGTATCCGGCGCTCGCCAGTTATTAATACCTACACCGCTACCTATATCTACCCCGTTATCGTTTGCGTGGAAACGACATCCGCCGACAGCCATGAGGTATACCCCTAAAGATTGCAGTTTACCCCAAAAGCTAATCGGGCAGCTAAGCCGTGCCCTAAACTTTATTGTGGATAAACCATATAAACTTGAATAAACTCAAACCAGCGAGGCCAGATAAAACCGAAGTCATGCACCAAGTGCCACTGCATCGGAATACGTGGAAAACCTGTGACGATCTATGGGTCAACTAAAACCAAAAATAGAATTACCACTTACAAATACATAGTGACTACTGAAAAAGTGATCTCGTTGCATAAGCAAAAAGGTTTATATAGAATAGAATTTATAGAATATTTTCATAGCCAAAAGGGACGGCTTTTAAAGCCATAAATCCAATGCAATTATTAGAAAAATTCAATAATAATAAATAACTTATTTGTCAAGGTTTTTAATTACTTGTGCTCTTAGTAAACATTAAATAAAATATCATATAATAAGTTTGACTTTAAGTTTTAAGCCAAATAGAGTTTTGGCAATATTAAAAGCAATAGCTTGGTCATATTTTATACAAATGTCTGTAATAAAATTTTCGTTTTTATAGCTCCCAATTTATGACGAAGACAAATCGTTTGGTGGTTTTGCGGCATGGCGAAAGTGATTTTAATATAGAGAACAAATTCTGCGGCTGGCATGATGCGCCATTAAGCGAGTTTGGTAAAACAAAGTCTTAATTAATTTACAATCCAAAAAAATGTTAAATAAAACTAATTAATTAGGCATCCAGGAGGCTTTGACGGTGGCGATTCCAGCACTTAAACAGTCGCAGCTGGAATTCGACGTGGTCTATTCATCCGTATTGAGCAGATCCCGGCAAACAGCCGAGTTGATTCTCTGCAAGCTAGACAGTGCCTATGTGCCCATAAAAGAAGACTGGCGGCTGTGCGAACGGCACTACGGAGATCTGACTGGCCACAACAAGCGCAAGATAGCCGACCGCTATGGGGAGCAGCAGGTGCAGGCCTGGCGAAGAGGATACGACTGCGTTCCCCCACCAATCGAGGAGAGCAATCGCTACTACTACACCATCTGCAGCAATCCCATCTTCGATGATGTTCCACGCGGCGAGTTCCCGTTCTCGGAGTCCCTGCACATGTGCGTCGACCGGGTGGAGCCCGTCTGGAAGGAGGTGAAGCAGGAGGTTCTCAAGGGCTCCCGGGTGCTGATGTGCGTCCACGGAACTGTCGCCCGCGCCCTCGTTCAGCACATCGAAGGTGGGTAATAAATTACTATAGGTAAAAGGGAAACATACTTAAAATGCTTGTAGATATTTTTAAGGGTTACTTAAAACGTTCATATAACACTCATTATTAAAAATCAATATCCATGTGGCTTACCTATTTACCTATAAGGGTTTGTAGTTCCAAAAAAAAAATTGTTTAAGTTTACTTAAAACTTTCAAATAACATTCATTATTAAAAACCAATATTCATGTGGCGTACCTCTAAAAGTTGATATTTAAATTCTTTAGTAATCTCCATTTAAAATGTTTACCATTTTGAATTTCCAACATAACAATGATTTAGCCCTTTAAAACCATTTCTGTGGAAATATGTTCTAAAAAAATAAAAGACCACCAATCGTAATCAATTTTTTTTTAAAAGTCACTATATATTGATTTTGCTTACGTTTAAATTGCACAAATCAGTTTTATTTTGAGCAAACAATATTTTGTTTTAAATACTCATAAAATACCATCTTTAACTTTTAAAAAAATTTATATATTTTCAAAATTTACAAAGATTTTGGGGAAAGAATAGATTGACCAAAAGTGATTAATTTTTGTTTAAAAACACACATAAATAATCAATATGTGCAGTGCCTGCAAACGACAGCCTTTTGATATTGTTCACCAAGATATATAACAATAAATTTTAAAACGTTTTTCTTCAGGAATCTCCAACGAGGCCGTCGAGAAGGTGAACATTCCAAATTGCGTTCCACGCGTCTACGAATTTGACTTGAATTCTGGCGGATTAGTTGGCTCGGCCATTAACCTGGGCGATCAGGAATATATCAGGCGGAAAACAGCCCAGGTGGCAGCCATTGGCGACTGATTTTGGAGAATTTACACGGATACTATATATGTGGCCGTCGTCGTTTAATTGAACCCCCATTTGCAAAGTTTTTTGCCTTTGCTGCTTAAGGTCAGAGGAATGCGGCTGTTAAGGACATTAGAACTTTTATTTATTTGTCTAAACACCATCTGATATTTTTGGCCAAAAATATACAATTTACATACAATTGAAATGAAGGAAATTGTTATTATACCCTTTGAGTGAGTATTATAAGATTGGTCACAAGTTTGTAACGCAGTGAGGGAAACATTTCCGATCCTATAAATTATATACAAGAAGAAATCAGAATTATAGAACAGTAAGCAAATATATCTGACAATTGAATTCAACATTAAATATTCAATATTTAAAATAAATAATAAATCATAATATTTAATGCAATGCATTTTAAAAAGCATTATTAAATATGAAAATAATTTCTATTCGATTTTAACGCATTTTATTTAAGTTAAATTATCAGATATTAAAATCAATTTCGAAAATAAATAATTGACTTGAAAGAAATTTTAAAAAATTTCTATTTGAAATTACCAAAAACCGCAATGTTTAAAAATCAAAGCGAAAAATAATTATTATTGATCAGCATAACTAGACCTAAATCAACTCTTTTAACCACTGCCACTGAAATTAGTTAAATTACTTATTTAAACCATTTTTAGGATTCTCCCAATGAAACACAAATTTGGTTAGTTTCGGTGGATGTATATTTAGTAAAAATTACTTTTCAAGCTTCATGGTGATCCAAGTAACGATCTAGTAAATGCGTTATGTAATACTTTCAGTTGGTGCCACACAGCCATTCGCAGAAGTGCACACTCAGTAGTAGCTCTGTTCGTTATAGAGTGACCCTAAGTTGTTGGGCAGGATGTAGATGTCCTCGGGACGACCGTTGAACACGAACGGACGCTTCAGGGATGTCAGCTTGGAGTCCTGCTGCGGCACTGGCATGGAGGCCAGGCCAAAGTTCTGCTGGCTAGCTCCATATCCGCCCATTGACGGCGTGGCCATTGGTCTGAAGGGATTACTCGGCGTGGGTGGCCTCATGCCAAAGGCTCCAGGTGATAGGGAACCCAAACCTTCACCAGGCGACCCATTCATTTGATAGACGCCCGAGGGTTTTCCATTGGCCAGAAAGTTGACGGGCAGATTGAACACCGAACCGTAGGCGGAAAACGAGGGCATCGGTTGGTAGGTGAGCAGGGGCGAGAATCCTCCGCCAAACGGATTCGTCGGCATATTGGGCAGAAACATATACGGCGTTGGCGGCAATCTCACATAGTAAATGGGCGAATTGCGGGCAGTTGACGGGTGATTGGCAGCCGGACGACGGCCACCGGCTGCTCTGGACATCACCACATCCTCGAGGTCGTTGCTGCTGGGGCCGGGAAAAGCCGGATAGAACATATCCGGAGCCAGGTAGAGGGGAAATGGGATGAGCACCGGCTGGGCATAGCCAATAAAGGGCAGCATCTTGGGCATGGCCTCATAGGGATTTCCATGGGCGGCGGCGGCGGCGGCAGCATAGGGACTCCAGGGATAGTTGGCCGAGTTGGGCAGCCGCGACTCCTGTTTCGCCTCCTGCAGCAGCTGGTAGGGATCGTGGTCCTCCTCCTCCTCTGTCTTAAGATCCTGCTGCTCGGCTAGGCTATCCTGCACATACTGCTGGGCATGGATCTGCTGGCCTTGTGGCAGTTGTTGTCCTGGCTGCGCGGATTGCACCTGCTTCTGCTGACTTTGCTTCTTCACCAGCTGGCCGAGATTGGCCGCCAAGGATTGGGAGATCAGCTGCTCCAGCACCAGCAGTCCCACGAAAATGCTCCACATTTGGTTGCCCATTTCACAGGTGGTAGCTGTAAATGAATGGGATTAGCATGGGCACTGGCGGTGAGCTGAACTTTTGCTGATCTCCGACTGACCCCAAACCATTGGATTGGCTAATTTGCATGCCGCAAGCTAGTTTCTCACACTCCAATTGCGCAACCAGCGGATTTTCCCCCACCAGCACCAGCAGCACAAGTAAACAACGGAAAATTATATTTATGGCCAGCACTTTGGATTTCCACCGCTGGTTGCAATCGGAGCGAATAATGTGTTAGGAAAGTGGAGAGAATCTCAAGCCCATAACAACTCCTTACTAAGTGAACGAATTTAAGTTCGCTAGTATGTAGCTATTGAATGTAACTCTTCTTTGAAGCTAAGCCGCTGGATTTGCAACACTTTGCTCAATTGTAGGTTGTTAAATAAGAGGTTTTATAGTATTAAAAACTGTAGGCTTTTAAGAAATTAGGAACTTAAAGAATTAATTCGATTATCAACTTTTGAATAATTTGATGGGTTCTAAAAAAGTTTCTAAACTTAAAAAATTGAGTACGCTTTTTGAGAACTGTTGATTTTTTGTTTGTTAAATATTTTCCCTAGGATCCTATTGTGTTTTTGTAACGATAAATTTAAAAAAAAGAATTTTAAGTAAGCTTTTACAAATTAGATGAAATGTATTTAGTCTAAATTCTAACAGAACAAGTATTTTTTTTAAATCCACAGACAAATATTAATTATATATAAACTTAAAATGGAACCATCTTCATACAGCAGGTTTCTAAATATTTTGCAATGTAAGCCTATTCACTTTTCCTTTTTTGTCACACTTTTCCCACCAGTCACTTTTCACCAAGCACTTTCTTTGGATTTACCTAGCTAATAAAGCGGCGATCGATGTTTGCTCAACAGGATCGGAGAGTCCTGTTCGGAATGCCAACGAATCAATTGGCCCACTGGTCGGCAGGCGGGTTCGACTGGAAATGAGTGTGATCGCGGCCAGAATCGGCGCTTTATATAGGTGGGCCTGGACTGGCCAGAATCCGCTGGCCACATTCCCAGTCGATCCTCAGTCGACGTCGACTGAGCTGCGCTGCGCATGCGCAGAATCAGAATTGAAGAAGAGAAGAAGTGAAGAGAAGAAGTTAAGTGCGCAGAGCGTTTGGGCCATAAGTGTGTTTGCATTTGCCCAGCATGAATTTTTCTCAGCGATCTAAGGCCATGATTTTGAGGTTCTGTGGCAAGTGATAAATCGGCTAATTGCCCACGGCTTAAACGCCGTCTTAATTAGCCCCGACTGTGAAGTAACCCGACCCAGCTAGCTGCAAATAACCATATCCACATGCAATTGCTGTGCTGCATTTTGCTAAAGCAAAAGCTAATGCTGGCTATCTGGCTATCTGGATAGCTGGCAAAGAAACGCGAGCAATGTTAATTACCAACGGCAAAAGGTCCCCCGACGTGGGGTAACAAGCGCCCTTCGAGCAACGCCCGCGATTATGCATTTTAATTTTTATGACAGGGCAAAAGAGTTGGAGATGGAGTCGGAGATGGGCTCATTAGTCAATGATATCCGCCTGGCATTCCACCTAGCACCCAGTGGAAGCACCTGGTCCTGCCTACCTGCACCTGATCTTAACATCTCTCTTCCCAGTTGCATAATTGGGCATAATTGTGCAATTGCATCGGCGTGCCTACATATTTAGTTAGTGAGCAGCTTTATTGTCCCCCCTAACGATTACCAAGTATAATGTTAAGAGCAAGTAATGCTACAACCCAGAACCCATCTCCCAGGCACAAGGTCTGTCAAACAGGTCATAATTATGCCAAATACTCCAGATACTCAGCAAGAGATAAGCCCCCAAAGGCACTATTAATATTCTAATATGAATAATTTGTTTATTTGTCAAAAGCAGCGGCACTGGCGCCGGCGTTCACCTTCACGTTCACGTTCACGTTCAGATTAGAGCAATAATAAATTACGCAGCTAATTAAGCGGCAGTTGCTGCAACTGCAACATCCACATCTACATCCACGCAGATGCAAAAGATACAGATACATGCCGCAGATTGCAACGGCCTGGCTTCCACAACAAGCGGTGGCGACCACAATAATGAACGGTTCGTGTTCTATGTGTGTATTACCATCACTATTACCACCACTATTACTATTACTATTACTGATACTATTACGCTTACCCACCGAAGGCACTAGCCGCAGTGCTAAAACCCAAGACCAAGCCCAACTTGGCCAAGCCCCATGCCACACGTAATTAGCCTTGGAATGTCCTTGTGCACGTGACCAGCCCCGCTCCCCGTTTCTCAATTCCCACTCCCCATTCCAGAGGATCCCTATCCCTATCCCTATCCCGATCCCCATACGGATCCTAGCCGCCCTGGTGTGGGGCTAAATATAAAACGCGCGTGCCTGCGGATCATCAAACTTGGCCACTTTCCTAACGAAGCCACGTTAGGTGACAATGTCGCCGCTGCACTGCCCAAAAAATTATTCAATGTCGGAAAAAACAAGATTATTAAAAAAACAAGATGTCAAAAAAGGAATATCCTACTATTGATCTTTTTTAACTCAATTAAATTTTAAATTTTAAATTTAGTCATCAAGACCAGATAACAACAAAAAAATGTTAAGACACATATCAATTTTTCTATGTCTTTAATTCAGATTTAAATAATTTTACATTTATTTTGTATGCCAATATGATCTTGCATTGAGCTCCAAAAAAAACCGCTCTAGTCTTCTGTTAATAAGTTAAAATTAAGTTTTAAACTGGGAAAAATTATGAAGTTTTAATTTTTTTTTTAGCGTACAACAATTTTTTAGCTTACTTAATATTTATAAGAACTCTTGTTTAATTGTATTGTTAATATTTTGGATTTACCATAAATACATTAATGTGAATATACATTAAATAGATTAATTTAGAAGTGGTAAGAAACAATTTGACAAGTGGGTGATGGAAACTCAAAAATATACATAAAATCTAAAAACATTTTTAGTTTAACATGTTATTTTTACAATTGTTATTTTAAGCTTCCCTCAGTGTACAATCGCCGTTCCTATCGTGGTATCGGCATTCGGAACGTAAACAACTAACAGCTATCAGACTACAAGGGTTCATTAACACCAACTGACAGCCTGGACACAAACATCGCCCAAACAAAACGCCGTAGTTGCTGCGGATCCCGCTGAAGGCTATTGCCATTTAAAAGGCAGAAGCTCTCGTATTAAATCATCAGCCCCATCCCATCATCGCCTCGCTACCGACACACTCGCTTGAGCATGGCCCATCTAAAGTAAACCACTTTTGTTTTTTACTCAAAAAGAGAGATATAAAAAGAAATCGAAGCCAAGACAGAAGATCGGCGGAGAACTGGGTCAGAATCGGCACGACCGCCGGCCAAGAATCTGAATTATTGAAAACCCCTCAGGAAGTCGCCCTCCAGACGGACTAAGTAAACAAATTACTTGGCGAATATCGAAAATATTAAGACGATTGGGAAGCCAAATACCCTACAATATAGCTACTGCACATGTTCAGAGTTACGTACCTCAAATTCTATTAATTCGATTTAGATGTCTAATAGTATCTTTTAGCCCTAAATACCCCTTTTCAAACCCTAAGCTGCACTTCAGAAATCGCCCCCACACGAGCCACACTCAGCTACTTTCTTTAACCGCAAACAAATGACCAACCAAGGCAAACAACTCTTCAAAAGCTTAATTGTGGTGCTTGCAATTATTTTTGCCAGTTTCATTGACACAATTAATAAACAAATAATTGAGAGTTTGCAAAAGAAATTTAGCAAACACTTCCGGATAACGTGGTTTTGTTTGTAGTTATATGTTATCTTTTATCAGTATCTTCAGATAGTTTAATTAGTTCCAAGTTAAAGCGTAGTGTTCTTGGGTTCTCTGATAAGCAATGTTTTAACACAAATAGCATATTGATTGTTTTAAAGTCGAAGACGAGGTGGCCGAGAGGTTAAGGCGTTGGACTGCTAATCCAATGTGCTCTGCACGCGTGGGTTCGAATCCCATCCTCGTCGAATCCTACTTTTTTAGCTAAAATTTGTAGTTTTCTATTATTTCCATCTTGATTTTACCCTTTTTTGGTGACTGAGAAATTTAATTTTACTTTACTTGCCTGACAGTAAAATAATTAAAACATTTTTAATTTTATTACCTGTTATAAAAATTAAGGACATTTTTATTAACCAAAAAAGAAATTTCGACGAGGATGGGATTCGAACCCACGCGTGCAGAGCACATTGGATTAGCAGTCCAACGCCTTAACCTCTCGGCCACCTCGTCAACTTGGATTTAGTCATTTTAGATCGTTTTTTGAAATTAGGGGTGCAAATATTTAATTAAATCAAAATAAAATGCGAAAACATGTCCTTTAATTACATATGTCCACTTAAAAGAAATTAAGCATATCCATTAACATTTTTATATACCTTTAATAATTCCCTGCCATTTCAATCTTTGTATAATTCCACTTGTGTCTTGATTATTAAATTTTCGGTGTTCAGATTTGCACCTAAAGGTAAGTTATTGTCATTAAACGTAATGTTTGCTTAAAAAGCATTTCGCTATTTTTTTTAAACAGCACTCGTAAGCAACCAAGCTTTGTTTTATATTTGCTTTATAAGCTTCTATTTGTTCTTTAATTATTTAAAAAAAAAAACAACCTTATTTTTATATTAGCTTAAAATGCTTTTATTTGTTCTTTAATTATTTAAAAATACAACTAAACTTATAGCAATAGTTTTAAAAATAAAAATCTAAAAGGAAAAACAAAAAATTATATCGACGAGGATGGGATTCGAACCCACGCGTGCAGAGCACATTGGATTAGCAGTCCAACGCCTTAACCACTCGGCCACCTCGTCCAGTGATGCAGTTAGGACCAACATAGCACTAGTTCGGAGCGCAGCAGCATAACACATGGTTATCGACAGCAAGCAGTGTTGGCGGACATTAGAACATTGTTATTAATG